TAGGACGGAAAGTTTTTTGTTAGGAAGAAATTAAGACTGATATTTATTTCGCACATGACACACATGAGAGGTGTTTAAAATATAACACAACTGGAATATATGACATGAGGTTGTATACGTATTGTCGTACATGCAAAATGACTGAATTATTACTCCATTGACACTGTCAGCTTTTTATTCCGTTGCAGTACATAAATTTATTGTATATATCATTAGTATATTTAAAATAAATTTTTTGTATAAAATATATATTTGTTTTTTTTTTAAGTTTCCCGTTCATTCTCGTCATCCCTGTCTCTTGTTGATCAATGTCTTGTTGGATGAGGACCGAGGTCTTTGTTATATAGAGGTTTAGACGTCAGTATTTCTTTTATGTAAATTATGTAAAATGCGCGCGCTTCAAAATTATAATTTTAAGTGTATGTATACGTATATCATCCATTAGAGATAATAGTCGAATAAAAAAATGAGTTTAACTGCTGACAACGATATGTATGTAACATACATATGGATGATGTATTCATAATTATCTTAATCCCTGACGGGATATACCGGACATCGAGTGCATTTCATAAAACAAATATTTCTAACAAATGTGTGTTGTACAATAATAATAATTTAAATGCACGTAAACATATTTGTCGTTAAAGGTTTAGTAATATAATTTGTTTATATGTTATAATGAAAAAAAAAACTAAAAAATAGGTTTTTTTCATTTTTTAACGTAAATTTGGGTATGCATAATGGAAAATCATTTTAGGTATTTTTCGTAATAAAGTGGTTAAAAAGAAATGTATTTCATTTCTTAAAAATCCCTCCAAAGCAATGTAGCCGATAATGCCCTTTTTTGCAAATTATACTTTAAAATATTTCTGGTTTTTTGAAGATATCAAAAAACGAAAACACAGCCTTAAAGTACTAAGTTTCCGCTTAAAGATTTTCCTTCGCACTTTATGACATTGAGACATTAGCATTTATAAATGATAGGTTTCTAGACCGAGTACCAATAACGTGTTAAACACAAGAATGCTGAAAAGCATTTTTCCTTTGCTGGAAAAAATGCTCATTGACAGCTAAAGTTCGCAGTACGAAAAAATCTGCGTATTGGAAAAACAGTTATTGCTGGGAGTAATACGGTATGTTCGTCAATAATATATCTCGGTCCTGGCGTCACCCTTTTTTAGATTTTCATCAATAGTTGTGTGCAAATAATATCTGAGGTATAAGGCAAGGAGCTACAGCGACCACGTTTCTTTTCATAGCTTACGTTCCTTTTGTGATGCATGTGGCTTGTAGAAATTGAGTACCTGCGATTCTCTCAGTAACGTGAAACCATTAGTAGAAAGATTTATCTTTTTAATAGTGTTATTTTTAATTGTACAGGTTTTACTAATAATAATAGTGGGCTCAATGAAATCTTAAATTTTATCAAAATCACGGTTCTTGTTACTTTCATTTATCTTAAAATTTAATTACCGTCAATGTACAGGCACATAATATGTAAAAAAAAAAAAAAAATTCGAATGTATGTAGTTACTGTGTGATACACTTTTCGCTTGGGTCCTAAGGCAAGCTAGATCAAAATAGGCCCTAAGGTATTTGATCGGCACAACACTTAACTGGCGCGGACAATCGGCTCAAGACTCAAAAGGGATGCTGCTCTACCAGAGGATTGATTAGTAACTGAGGATGATCGGCATTGGAGTTCGTAAGGAAGATTTTGGGTTTGGAGGGGATTGAATGCAATGTCAGGAAATATCGGGGAATTTGGATACGTATTACGGTGTGATCGGGGCGATTGAACCCTGCCGTTCGATCGAATTCTCATTACAGGCCTTCGATTGCGGATTCTTCTTTGGATTAGTGTATTGTCAGGATTACTTTGGTGGTGTAGTGGGTGCGAAGGTGACGGGTAGGAGTTCTGCTGTGCGCGGTATTCGCGGTGCTATGGTGAAAATGCTCTTTAGGCACCTCAATTCTGAGTATCCTGTTCAGCATTGCTGCCCGTGTCGTTCTTATTCTTTGATTGCAGTGATCTCTCTCTCTCTCTCTCTACTCATCCACCTGCAATGTCACAATGTTGGTGTGATTTCTGAAAATGTGTGAAAGTATGAGATGTCGTGTACAGTATAATATAATATGATGATATCCCTTAATAATCATATCCCAACAAAATCAGTCGATGTCATTAGGCTGAATTTAATAACCTCGCAGGGGTTCATTTACGAAATACACATTAAATTAGAATCAGCATATAGTGTAACACTCTTACCCGATGGTGGGACTAATATGATAGAGTGCGCCCAATACATACGGAGACTCCTCCCAGATCCGGAGTCTAGGAAAATTCACCCTGTATACTTACTGTATTTTAACTCAAATTGGAGTTTGTACGGGATTTACTCCTAATATACAGCCCGACATGTGAAAGAAATACTTGTCTAGGGTAGGTATAAAAACCTCCTGTAAAAATACCATAAAACGCCTAAATATGTCTAGTGGGTTTTCCCCAGGATGTCCAAAGGATCATGAATATGCAGACATTTTCACCTCCTCAGGATATCCAGAGGAAGGCCCGAGACCTTATCAGGACGTCCATAGAACTTTCGGAATATCCATTTAAGACATCTGTGGGACATCTTGTCTTAATCTAAGTACAGTATAGAGAAGAGTATGCAAAAGAATATAAAATATATATAAGAAACATATCGGAAAGTATAAGAACGGTAGGGGAAATTTGTAGAAGTTACCGCCCTAGCTGTAAATTAAAAAATGGATTAAAGAGAGGACGTGAATCCTTAAAATTATAATGGATTTGGTTTAAGCATTTATTTTAAAAAATCGAATATTACAGTTTACATACATACAATTTTGTTTTTTACAATGTGCTCGCACGTGACAGCAATGTACAGATGTATAAAATCGGTAAATAATACAATTATAATTTTCTTAAAGAATACGTTATTAATTACAATAATTTACATCTAGAACTTCTAATATCTTCACAGATTGGATTGAAGAAAACTATGACCGTAAAAAAGTGATCGGGAAAAAATTATATATAGAGATTGTATGTAAATTATATGTGGATTATATACATATACATAAATTATATATGAATTTATAATTTATTTACTATCACTCATTCACTGTAATAATCTTGGCCAATCAACGTAGATACTGGAAATTCTACATGGCCGTCCAGGTTTCTTCTTCCATGGTTATATTTTCTGAAATGATTTTCTTTTATTCTCGTTCTACGCACCTTCACTATTTGCAGTCTGGAAGGAAAAAAAAAACGATGGATTGTCATACCATATTCGTTAAATAAAAGTAGAAAATTGATTATAGCACAGATTGGCTTACCTTTCAATGTAAAATGATGATGGGAACATCCTGTCAATGAGGGTTGCTGTTCCTTGTTGGCCTTAATAGCTGAATTCTTTGTATCGATTCCTCTCATCTTCAAGCAAAAATAATGAAAAGAAAAAGAGTGAATTAATAAATGAATTAATAAAGTAATCTTGTTTTAAATTATATTTACATACTTTTTCGAAGCTGTCTAAAAAATACTTCCATCAAGGACATCGAATACATGAAATTAAAATAATTATTAATTAGTATATAAAGATTTATTAAGATGTAAAACATACTTTATGTGTTAAAGTTGTTATACAATCTGACCAGCGAGTTATCTTGTACAGTAACACAGTTCGCAGAGAGGCAGCATTAAATTCTGCTCCTAAAGCGTAATAAAAATTCATACAAATTGAAAATCAAGTTAGAATATTTCTTTTTATTAATTTGTTATATTACCTTAATGAAGGAGATGTTCAAAGTGACCGCCATTTGCCTGAATACAGCATCTCGCACGCTGCAGGAGGCTGCTTTGACAGTTTTTCAGCATTTCCGGGGTGATCGAACGCAGGGCACTGTCAATACGCAAGTGAAGCTCTTGCAGCGTCTCAACAGGTGTCCTGTAGATGACTGATTTCATGTGTTCCCACAGGAAGAAATTCATCGGCGTCAAATCTGAGGAACGTGGAGGCCAGTGATGGGGACCTCCTTGTCCGATCCAACGCTCGGGGAACATGCCGTTAAGTTCCTCGCGAACGTTTCGTGTTGCATTGTGTTGCAGCCAGATTCTCCTTCGATTCTCTTCGGACAGGCCGCAAACTCGGAGAAGAGGAAGGAGGTTTCGCTGGAGAAATTTTCTATACTTCTCCGTTGTAAACTTTCCCTCAAACTCGAATGGTCCAATCTGAAATGACAGGAGTCATTCGTTAAAAACAAAATTAATTTATATGGCAATATTACATACCAATCGGTCGTTGATGATACCCGCCCAAAGATTCACACTAAATCGTCGCTCATGTTGGTGCACCGCGACGGAAGCTTGTGAATTGTCGGTAGTCCATATCTGGCAGTTGCGAGTATTCCAGCACCCAGAGAGTCCGAAAGACAACTCATCGGTAAACATAATGTTCCCGATGAAATTTGGATCTTCCTCGTGTCTCTGGAGGAGCCACTCGCAAAATTCACGTCTAACAACGTAATCAGATGACTTCAGTTCTTCGACACGCGTATAGTGATACACGTGCCACTTCTCACACCCGATAATCTTATGTACTGTACTTCGTGGTAATCCAAGCGAACGTGCCACCGACCTCACACTCGCTGTTGGATTTTTGCGAAACACATCTATTATACGCTCTTCCTTCCTGAGTGTACGGCTTTGACGAGGTGCACCGGTCTCCCGATGATTTGGCATTGCGCTGCCGGTGGCCTGTATACGTCTTACAGCGCCCAGTATCACAGCAGCCGAAGGAAATCGCGCGCGTTTCGGAAAGCGCTCGGCGTAACTTCGAGCGGCTTCATGTGCGTTACACCCGCACATACCATACACGAGGATCATATCCCCGTACTCGTTACAATCGTAACTCATCATCACTAATCTAAAATAAATATTCACTTATGAAAAAATTAAGGGGTGTCCAGGTTCCTGGCAAGCAGTCTGCCCACACCACGCTCACAAGAAGAACTGAGAACTGACTGATACTGATTGGTACTGATGAAAAGACATGAGTGGGAACCAAACTAACATTGGCGCGATGCAAGGTTGTAAGAGGGACAATTTGGCGCCAAATAAAAGACAATTGAATATTTGAAAGTATATTTGTGAAATAAACGATTTAAATTCATGAAAAATTTGGAAAGAACGATAAGCTCCCAGGTAAATCTTTAATAATTTAATCATAATAGATATAACCTCATACAGCTGTGTAAACTGCGGATTAGATCAAATGTTGCCAATAAGAGTAGTTTTAAAAATGGTAGTCAATCACTTTCAAGTAGTACATAGCGGGAAAGAAACTTCATCGTTCTTCCCTCTTTTGTCGTCACTAATTGTGACGGTTTTCGCTCTTGCAAGAAAAAAACTATAAGCAGGAGAGATATCTAGGGTGTGTTCCAAAATGTACTGACAGTATTGTAACCAACGCTGTGTCATTCATCTATACGCATGTAAGAGAGATGTAGTTACTTTTACAGTACTCTCAGTACATTTCGGAACACACCCTTAGTATACAGGGTGTTCCGAAACTACCTGACCCGGTGGGTATGGCGGTGTTCGGAAGGCTTCACTGATCAGGAAAATAACCTTCTTTTTGTCCGGAAGGTCATAGTTTTTAAATGGGAGCAGGCCAAAGTTGACCAATCAGAGGGAGGCGTTAAGAGAAACGTAGGCACCTGCGAACTCTGAGTTTTCTTCCCTCGCTTTTGTTTCTCGGTGAACACCGCCATACCAACGCCTCCCTCTGATTGGTCAACTTTGGCCTGCTCCCATTTAAAAACTATGACCTTCCGGACAAAAAGAAGGTTATTTTCCTGATCAGTGAAGCCTTCCGAACACCGCCATACCCACCGGGTCAGGTAGTTTCGGAACACCCTGTATACTAAGGGTGTGTTCCGAAATGTACTGAGAGTACTGTAAAAGTAACTACATCTCTCTTACATGCGTATAGATGAATGACACAGCGTTGGTTACAATACTGTCAGTACATTTTGGAACACACCCTAGATATCTCTCCTGCTTATAGTTTTTTTCTTGCAAGAGCGAAAACCGTCACAATTAGTGACGACAAAAGAGGGAAGAACGATGAAGTTTCTTTCCCGCTATGTACTACTTGAAAGTGATTGACTACCATTTTTAAAACTACTCTTATAGTCAATGCCATTGACTCATTTTGATCACCGGCCGAAATTTGTATATAAATCATAAGTTAATCGCATTACCTTCTTATTTATAAGCAGCACTGAAGAGTTTATGTAATTTATCAATATTGAAAGAATAATTTAACCTTTAAGTATAAAAAGTTGCAACTAACCACGTGATGTATTGTAGAAGAGTTAATGGTCCATATTATATTTTATCCAATAGCAATATCATTCTTCTTATAGGTCTACTAAGTGATTAGATATAATTCAATCATCAATAGTAACGATGTATGGTAATGATACCAATAATTGTCACCATAGGCTATAAATTTTAAGGTGCCTTTACAGCTTGCGTGACGAACTTCAGGGAAGGTAGATTTTTTATTGGCTTAATTCCAGTTTTTCGACAACACTTATTAATCCGAAAAAGCTTTGTAATTGCAATACGAAAAAAAGTGTAAAAAATTTTTTATAAATGGTATGAAAAAATGTAATAGAGTTGAATAGAATTGTATAGAATAGAAATTGTAATTTATATACGAAAATTGGTGAAGCTCCTAAGCTCCACCTATGCCGCGGCATACTGTAGTGATCGCAGTGATCAGCAGTGATCGTCAATCGTAATACTGTACGGAGTCGTACGCGAGTTGTCACGAGAACTTGATTTTATATTCGTGCCGTTTTTGATGTCTTTTGCCAAATATAGACGTAAACATGGATATGCGATGTGAGGTATGTAATTGCAAAAAATTAAATTCAAAGATACATTTCATGTAAAACACACATTTATAGAAGTTTTTGTTTCATGAGAATTTGGAGGTTAATTTTTCGGCTTAATCTGAACAATGTTGAGATTATCTTACTGGTATCTATCATTTCCTCTTTAAATGTTTGTAATATAGAGCAAATAAATAAATTTCCGGCATATATTTCGAAAAATATTGGAGTATTTTTATAACATAACGTAACATTTTTTAAATGATAAAAGTGGGGTGATTCAATAGAAGCATGGTGGTTGGTTGCTTTTTAAAAGGTTATGTATGTAAATCAAATTTTATATCTATAAAACTTAAAAAAAAATTGTCACCAAATTTAAGTGTGAGAACACAAATGCTAAAGTATTGATCGTTCAATTTTAAGAAATTAATGCATTGTGTTTCTTTGAATATGCATGACATTATGTATAATCGCTAAACGTGAGTAAATTAAAACAAATATGTAGTTCAAATTTTCGCTAAACTGCAGGATACGACTAACTCCTTCTTGGAGTTAGCTATGGATTGTTTAGTTTTGTTTACATGTAGTCCTTCATGAAGGAGTCGTATGCTGCAGTTCACCCAAATTTTGCCAATAATATTCCATGTGAGCTTTTCTTTAAGTGGTAGAGTTTAGTTTTAATGAATAATTTTGTATTTATAATTACATTTATATGAGTCTATATATCACAAAATATTAGTAATATAAAATTCATTTAAGAAAGAATAATATATATCGCTTATCAATTCAAATGCATGAACTAAATTAGCGTATCCAGCTGATTCCTAAGCTACAGCTAAGTTAAATTGATATGTTTAAACAATTTAACTTTGTATATTTTTATGTACTTGCATATCTATTTAAATTGTATCTCATGAGAATGAAACTTGAAAGGATATATACTTTAGATTAAATAAATAGTTTTTATTTTCCATTCTAACTTATACTTCAATCAACATTTACCCCTTTGCACTGAACATTTTCTTATTTTCTATATATTTGAGTGCCTGAAAAAGGACAGTCAAGTGCAAAGGGTTAACATAATTTTCATTGCATACACAATCACAGTATATTTAATGTCTGTCTGTAATTATTTCATATAATTACAGAAAAATCAATAAGAGAAAATTACGTAAATTTCAGCAAAATACAATATTGACAGAAATATCACATGTATCAACATTAATATATTTAAAATTATTAATAACATTATTTTTGTTGATTTCAGAGTGAATTGAAATTCTTGGATTTATCCAATGCAGATGATAGTGTTAGAGAGGAGCTTACAGCAATATTGAAACCGAACACTGCCACAGGAGTTCTAAAATTACCTTGGGATACTGGAGAAACTGAAGTAATATATAATTCAACAATACCTGAAGTTCCAGAAGAACAATGTCATTGGCAAAATTATGGTAAGAGAAGGTTACTCGTTTCTATTCAACATGATCAATGGTGTATCCTACATATCCAAAAACAAGCTTGTTTGTGCAACTGAGATACTTTTATCTAAAAGTCTACACCAGCAGTAAATAGAAAATGTAGAAAGTTAATTTTGAAATTATTCTTTAAAAGTACCTTAAAGTCCGATGCTAAAAAAATCTATATACATAAATGAGACGAAAATAGCTTTGTTGTAGTTCATTCTCTTTTCCCTACATATTCTATCCAGCCAAAACTATGATATATATTTCTATAACAATGATTATGTTATGTTACACAGTGGAACCAGAAGGAGTAGCGTCAAAGTATGGGACACATATTGACGCAACACATTACGTACACACGACCATGATACAAAATATGCCATCAGCACAACCTATTCCTCCAAACGATTTAATCAGGATGTATTCTTCATGGCCACAAAATATGATGGTAAATAATGGTATGCCAAACATGAATCCTCGGCATTACGCCAATGTACAATACTCTCACGTTCCTACAAGTAATGAATGCTACGACATGCATTCTGGAAGAGGCACTGGGACGCGTAATTGGGGACGAGGGATGAAAAAAGACGGTTATAATCGCGGAAACATTCATAGTAATGATATGCAGCCAAGATTCACAGGAGAGCAAGACCAGTTTCATCAATATTATCATCAATATCCAACACCTTACTATACTCCATCAGACCCCACAGTTTTCCATCCACATCATTCACCTGCAGAATATCACAATCGACATGGAATGCCTGTTCACCCTGGCATGGTGAATTATGTACACGTAATGCCACCACCACAGTCCTTCCAGTTTCATCCTCCCTCAGAAGTAACGAAGATCGTTGCTCCAAAGACAAACGAAAAACGTATGCACAATACAACACAGAGCACAGTGCAGAATATTACACAAAGTAGCGTAACGAAACAGGCGAGCTCTCAGGCACAAGAAGAACCGCAAACTCAATCACCAGTTGTAACAGCTGCAACTGTGAATGACAACGAGACAGTACCGACAACGAGCAACGTTAATGATAGTGCTACATCAGTGGGAAAGTATAACGGGGCTAACGAGAAACTTAACGTTGAAATAAAACATACCGTATCCACAGTGAAGGAGGATTGTGAAGGTACAGAAAAAAATGACGTCCCTTGTGTAAATATCAGCAGCAGTATTGAAGTTAAACGGAACGGAGAGAATAGTAAGGAGTATGACGATGAAACGGTAGCCAGTATAAAAACTACAGTAGTTACAAAAGTTTCGGCACCTACTACAAAAGTAACCAGCAATGAAGCGCCGGAAGAAATCAGTACTGTGGATATTAAAACATCAGAAGAAAGCATAGTAGTTACTAGCGCAAACGAAGCTCCACCTACTATAGTGTCTGCATCTCCTCTAGCCGCGTCCATTAAAACTTGGGCCAGTCTTCTTAAATCTGGTCCTGTAGATAGCGATGCGATAACGTCAACTAATAAGCCAACGGCACGCATTAATCCACTCAATGTGAATTCTAGTGGGGATACGATCAACGCGTCTGTGCCTGAAACTCAGCAAAATGTTTCGAAAACTGAAGAGGCTTTTGTACCAAAACAGGAACATGAACATCATGCACAAAATGTCGATAATCATTACGATGACTTTAAGAAGCTTCAACGAGAGGCTGCACACAGTCGTTTTGATGATCCTATAGCTCATAGAATGGGAGGTATGTTTCCATTTGATTTGTACTATTTATTTAATTTATTTTGTACAACAGGAAATTTAACATTTGAAAAAGTTATTATGTATGATCAGGCTGTGTCCCTAGTTCCAAATTCAGGGGCCTCATTTTATATTTTAATATATATAAGACGTATAATTCTCCTGCCAGTGAAATTTATTTCATGAACTCACCGTAGTATCCGCAATGATGAACAGTTTTTAATTTTTGACATAATGTATGTTTGCAGAATTTCTACATAATTATCAAATGGATAAGCAGACGGTAAGCTTATTGCCTCGGGGTTTAACAAATCGCAGTAATTATTGCTACATCAACAGCATATTGCAGGCTTTACTTGCCTGTCCGCCTTTTTATAACCTCTTGATAGCACTGCCCAATTCAAAACATGTAACAAAAAATTCAGCCACACCATTAATCGATAATATGTGAGTAAGTTAAACACGTTTAATCGCAATGTCCTAATCAATGACGAAACTTATACAGTTGCGATCAGAAGGGTTTATTCATTAGCCACCCATGTTCATATTAATATTCAATTTCATATTTAAAAATCATTTCTCAGGATTAAATTTGCTCGCGAGTTCACTCCGCTCTCAGACGGTGCTCGATTGGCCAGAAAAGATAGACCTCAGAAACGCAACGAAGATGCGATAGTAGACATACAGTGTGGAGTAGCATTTGAGCCTTCTTATGTATATACTATGTTAAAAAATACATCCTCTGCTGGTGTATTCTCCGTGGAAGGTAGACAGGAGGATGCTGAGGAATTTTTGTCATGTCTTTTGAATGGACTCAGCGATGAAATGCTAGAAGTATGTATTGTTTATCTATTCTTCTTCATTCTTTCAATTCTAATGGATTGGGACTATTTTATTTTAGTTAATGAAATTGGTGAATAACAATCAATTTTCAAGCGAAGAAATAGAGCCTGCTGTTAATTATAATAATCAAGGGGATCAAGAAGAATGGCAAGTAAGTATAACTATCCTCCTCTTCGTGAGTACATAGCGAAGTGCTCACTCACACAATATTAATATTTCTATTGAAATATAATAGGTAATGGGACCAAAAAATAAAGGGTCTATTACGCGATGCACCGAATTCGGTCGCACCCCTTTGTCTGACATATTCCGTGGACAATTAAGGTCTAGAGTATCTCGTGCTGGAGAACAACCTACTGATAATGTTCAGCCATTCTTTACGCTGCAGTTGGACATCGAGGTAAGTTCACTATTGGATTAGAATTAATCAAACAAATAGAATAATGAGTCATGTCATGAACATTGTCATGTCATTGAGTCGTCGAGTATCGTTTCTAATTTAGTACTAAACAAAATAAATATTTCAGAAAGCAGAATCAGTAAAAGGTGCTCTTGATATTCTGGTTGGCAAAGATCCGTTGGAAGGTATGACGTGTAGCAAAACAAAACAGCAAATCGAAGCATGGAAGCAAGTTTCTTTGGAAGAATTGCCTGTCATTCTAATTCTCCATTTGAAATGGTTCGACTATAAACTCGATGGATGTTCGAAAATTTGTAAGAGCGTTGAGTTTCCTGTTGATCTGAAGCTTGACGGAAGTAAGTAACGTAGACATTTCATACAAAAAATTAATGGTTTATTCTTTGTAGAAGTTACTGGCTACTCAGAGAATTTATATGCTGCTACAGTTGTTCAAAATTCTTAAGTAACATGCTTAACATTTTTCTTACAGAGTTTTTGTCGCCAAATACAATAAAGAAGCTAAGTCCGAAACAAAAGCAGTATAAACTCTTTGCTGTGACTTATCACGATGGAAAAGAAGCAACGAAGGGACATTATGTAACCGATGCCTTCCATGTTGGTTACGGTGGTTGGGTACGCTACGATGACAGTTCACTCAAAGGTGTTTCCGAAAGCAATGTACTAAATCCTACACCACCACGAGTACCATACTTACTTTATTACAGAAGATGCGACACCATTAAAAATAATCAGTCGAATAGCGGTAAAACACGTTGAATAGTCGTTAAATACCAATTTTTAGGTAAAGCCATACATATGTTTTCCGACGAAGCGCTGCACTTTTGCACTTCCGAAATAACTTTAAGATATGTATTTGTCCACAAAACGTGGACAGGCTCTACGTCAAGCATTACGAAAAGAGCAAAGGAGAGAGTAAAGAACGTTACGTAATGATTTTTAGTCTTATGTCCTCGTCTAATATTCGTGCATCGAATCCATTGTTAAGAATTTTAGATTTATCATTGTTCGCTTCGGGAAATTCAGCTAATTCACGTTTATGGAATTTTCACCATAGAGAATCTTTTTTCGATCGTCTCCGTTCCTCACAAATGCATAGAAAAGCGAATTCATTATTTAAAATGCAACTTCCAAATTATATAAAAGTCATTTGGTTTCGTTTGTCAAGATTAGTTAATATTGACACAGAAGAATCTTAAGTCTTCTTTATATTCAATAGTTTATATCGTGATAGAAAAAAGTTATTGGAAGGAATTGTAGATTTTATCTAATATCCAAGATAATTATGCCAGATACATGCACAGAGAACGTACCACATTTTCTTTTTTTGGGTTTCTGAAAAATAATCTATAATTTAAAAACGAATACGTCGAGGATTCGATAGTCATAATTATTAAAATTCACTATATTTAATACTGGGGGATAAAGAGCTTATAGCTTATGTCCTATTATTGCTAATACCTATTAGCATAATAAAAAAGAACAATGAAATTTCCATTAAAGGAATTTTTTTTAAATATTAGGTTTGAACTTGTTTTATCGCGTTCAAAAAATGAAATTGTAGAAATAATAAGGTCAGAGATATCAAGTTTTTGTTGTGAATAGGTATAGTTCCAAAATCGTAATGCCTGATATCTGATGAAGTACGGAGATTGTGGTACATTCTGGATTTGCATAATCTAAAGCTACATATGGTCAGGCTAGAAAATTAGTTCCACTTGAGTTTTCCTAATATAAAAGATTCACCGAACATGGAACTAATATCGCGATGCGATTATATTATACTTATACGTATTTATGTATACATATATGTATATATACTATATGTTAGTATATATAACTATAAAGCATACATAATACATGTATAGGAGTGTATAACAAATGATTAGATGAAATGGACATTATTACAGCAACTGTCTACTATCGAAATTAAATTGCTATAGTAATGAATAACAAAAAATTGCCTTTATTAATGATAATATTTTTTTCTTTTGTAACGTAAAACACTCTGATTTAAGGGCCTCTCATCCGCCAACTCTCTATTTTACATCTAGTAGATAAATTTTATTTGGAACTGGAGCTAGAGTGTTTTACACATCGTTGGCAAACCTAAATATATTAAGGAAACTGTAAATATTAAAATGCAGACGTGGAGTGATTTAATCGTAAACATAACCATTGGTTCAGTAGAATATTTTTTTACGTGTTTTTAAAAATATTCTGATAGTAAAGAAAAAGTTAAGACTGGACTGCAATGTTAGACCGTAATAAAAAGAAATTAAAAGTTAGTGAATTAATGTGGAAATCTTAACAACAAAAACAAATTTCGACTGTGGGACAAAAACGGTACTTCGCCTTGAAATTGATGTTTGATCGAAACCTTAATTGAGTACTTTTTCTATCGGCTAGACCATTTTATTCTATAATTGAAGCTGCGCGCAAAATGAATAAAAATAACCAAGTGTTATTGCGATTATTGCATTAGTTACATGGGACATGAAATTTGTATAAAATTATTATAAATTCGTGTTATTGGCCAAAAATTAAAACCAATGAGCGTTCAAACTTATCAATTTTTTTTTATTTAAAAATCTTTCAAATAATAATTTTTTAAAACTATAGATCACCACCTTTAGAATAGAACTTTTTCAGAATATTCATGATTTTTTAACACGTATTACTTTTGAACGGAAAACTGTCAATTATCCGTTCTTTAATGTTAGGGGAAAATGGTACGATGTGATTTTGATTTTCCGGAATTGCTTAACTAAAATAATTTCAATATGTTCCTCAACTTATTATACATTGAAAGTATTTAATTGTTCAAAATGAAAGTTCAATATTGTTGAAACTTTCTACTAGAAATAGTATAAAAGAATCTAGTTTATTATTGTATTTTGCGGTTTCATATTGTATTCTAGTCCTTACCTTTCACCCCTTTTTTATGTTTTTGATGCTCAAGTTTCATTAAAGCTAATGGCAATCTCTCACATTTGCCAGAAAACCACCGCAAAATTATACAACTAATCTGTTTACATTTCACTCTGTAAAAATAAAAATATAAATAATTAAAATGATTATTATACATCTAAATCCACTAATAGTACCGACGAAACTATAAGCCATGCATTATACTCATACTTTTTCGTTTTAACATAAACTTTTTTGAGACCGTTGAAACTATGAAGTATTTAACAATTTCAATAAATGTGTACAATACTGTTCAATAAACAAAGCAGCTGAATGTACTGTGCTGCGGATATACGTTTGAAAGATTTACAGGTTTTGAATTATTGCTAACTATTCTGTTTAATATGTGTATATAAATGTATACATGTAATCTGTGAGCATGTACTAAATTTTTCGTGAAAAGTTGAAGATCAAGGACCACATTTTGATATACCGATTAAAATAGTGAAAATACATTATTTTTTACATTTTTAGTATGCAACGATCATTCACTACGTGATATATGTTCTCACAAAGCGTGAGGAAATAATTTTCGAATTTGAGGAATATTAAGGAAGAATTGTTATTATTTATGCAATCTGCATTGTGCTCTGTAGACATTATTTTTCTCTTATAACTTTGTAATCCTATATGTGATTTGTATTAATATGAAATATTAAACATTCATTGTTAACCGTTTCTGTTGTCACTTTAAGATAATGGTAACTGTTATCACTTTGTAATACAATCTCTACCGCAACATCTATAACATTGTCTGTTAAATAATTATCTGATAGTTTGATCAATTTTACATACACTTTTTAATATAAATTGTATATCATTTTGCATCTAAGCATTGGCCAGCTATTATTCTACATTTTCAAATACTGCCGCCGTAATTGATTTATAATAAAGAAAAAGGTAATTCAGAAAATTTGTGTCATGTTTAAAATTATATAAATAACTATAGTTAAATAGAAGCTTTTATAGTTTTCGATTGAATTAGAGACCTTTTATTACTAAAAATAAGTATATTATATATTATTGAGATATTTCGAGATTTTCTTTTCTAATTTATTCCCGTCTACTAATCTTCATATACAATGCTAGGCAATTCAAACGTCTCACTTGAACTGACTAACATACAAATTAAATGGACGAGCTAACTTCAGATAGTGCGTTTAAGTTATCTATATATTTTCGTAATATTTCTTCTAATTTACCATCGTTCATGGATACTATAGCTTCATTTTTAAAATAGCGTTGGAATAATATTAAAATAAATGAATAGTAGACTGAAACGCCTTGACTTCCTAATGCCTTGTGCTTCCATTTCTCGATCATTATTTCCTTTTTGTAATATTGTTCGTGAAAAAAAAAACACGTGCTAGTTACTTTAGAATATTCATGTCTGGCAAATATTTTCTTTATATCAAGATAATGTTATTGTTGTGATTATATTTTCAATATCTATCGAAATTTATATAATTGATTATAAGCAAGCTATTGATTGAATGTATCGATTATGAAAATATATATTACTTTAATTTGACAATGAAATTGTAATTGAAAATACGTTAAATGAAAAGATAAGAATCCAGGTACATTCATATTTTTTAAAGCAATTAATCCTGGTTGGAAAAATTTTAAGTCAGTGAAAAAGTATATGGCTCTACAAATATAAAAATGTATAATTCATATATCGATATATGTATAGAACGCCTATAGAATGTAATGTTTTTATCGCAATTCTGTATTCTAAAATAGATCTTTTTAATTTCTTTGACTTCATTCTCGTGAAAACATTGTTTCCTCTTTTTAATTTTATCATAGAATAATTTTTGTTGTATATCTTATGTACGATTTTGTAGATATATATTTGTGTTTGTATAAATATCTTTTAGATGTTTAAGGCATTGAATACATTCACATTGCTAACATTGGAAATCAGAACGAAATAATAACTTTAGACTGTATATTGAACTGTTGAATATAATTTTAAATAATGAAGTGTTTATGAGTATTCTGATAAAAAACAAATTATATGTAGGATAGAACATTATAAGCATGTATTTTATCGACTCACTCACACTCAAAATAAATTTTGTTTTCAACAAAGAATTATATGAAGTTGAATTTTTTTTCTGTACTGCATTCCTTTTTCTTCTATGATAACAAGTACTGTAGAACTGGTTGAGAGCAACGGCAAAAAGCCAATAGAAATATGATCTCATTTTTAGAGAAGGTAATAAATATTTACTTGTAACGCAACGATTTGGACTTATAGTTTAACAAAGTGTATATTATTGTTACTATGTACAAACATATAATAACAAATAGCGAGATTTTAATATAAATACAAAGTTCAAAGTTTGGCCTTGACCGCTATACTGTTGTCTGTTAGTTTCAATCTGAAAATTTATAACAGAAGCACTGAAATACTCTGGAAGAAAATATTTACAAGTATAAATTATTAACTTTCGTATAACACGTCACATAGGAAATAATACATTTAATATATCTATGTACATGCTTTCAGAGAGAAAGATAACTGATTGTTATAGTTAAACGCAAGAGCACATAAGATTTTTTTAATTTGGCACAATGCACTTTTCTTTTTGTTACAACCCTCTCTTCCCAGTGTTCAAACGTTCACAGATTTTCTGAGTCTCTCAGATCCAACAGTAGGAAGAGAGGATTAATGTAATTAATTGCAACAAATTACTGAATCACAGATAAATCTGTGTATAAGATCGTCATTCGAGAGTCATTTAAATAAAATTGGATCAAAGTATCGTGTTTATTCCTGAAGAGTATAAAGCAGGAATCTGATGTGATTGAGAAAATTGAAAATATTATAGTGTTTTTATATTGGTAAATGTCTTGCAATAATGACAATTTAAAAATAAATCAGGGAACCAGAAAGTGATAATACGCACACAAGATAGTTTATATTGTTGCATTTAGATTTTATATGACTGTTGTATTTTACCGAGTCTTAATTGATCGTGCATGTATATATTCGCGTACATTTAACACGATATGACAAGTACAAAATGGAATGAGACGGCGTTTACATGATCTATAGTACCTTAAAATTGTTATAAATAGTATAAAACAAGTATTCGAAAAATTCTTACTTGCACGCTAATTTTTTTTATCTAATGAGCACAACAAAAGTATAAGGACAATATTACAACAATCATAGACGTGCTATTATTTTATGAAATATACAAATTGAAAATGTTGCGCGATCAATGCCATTCGAGATTATGATTCGTACGTGGTCATGGTACAATATTTTATGCCTAATCCTTGCAACAATTACTATAGAATTTTGATCGATGCATTCTATCAAAATATGTTAGTCGTTTGTACATTTACCGTTTAACAATATACTTAAAAATTTACTGGATTTCGATTGTGCACAAATCATTTGGTTAAGATTTCTATATTCAATATGAGAATTTTTTATAAGGAATGTCAAACAATTAACCGAGATTCTAGTTGAATCGTCGTTTTGCATAACTATTGATCATTAGGAGCTTGCAAAACCATTCGTACAGAATGTAGACATATTTTAGACATGCATTTGTACTTTTGCATTAGAAATACTTATTTTGTATTAAAAATCTGTGAATATATTGAAAGACTTAAATAACCGTATTTTGTTGATCAATAAAAGACGTTCGTAATTTCTTGTGGTTACTGGTACAAACGACTTGTAATAAACTTCTATATTTGCTGTCTTATGCAATTCGTTTTACTAATTGTAATTATTAATCGTTATAAAATCCTCACGTATAGTAGGTCCAAGAGTTCAATGTGTTTTTTTTTTGACAGATTGAATAAAATTGAGTCTTTAGCAAACCACATTAGCTCTACATAATATTTTTATTACGAAATATCACGTACATGGACCGAAACATATTTTTTCTATTTTAGTATAAATTTCTGTGACTTTATTGAAAGTCGAATATAATTCGCTTAGGGTCCCATTCTTTGCAAACTGTCAATAAAATATATTGCACTCGTGAACCGACTATACCATGAGTTCATTTTACTTTACTGCATATGATAAGGGAATTCTTTAAAAGTATTATGCTGATGTTTAATCTTCAACAATGAAATTAATTATATCAGATATAAATTTACTTTTTTAAACGTAAATAGCAATATTTTAGAAAAAAGTTGAAGACCTGCAATATAAGATAGTAATAAATACATCAAGTATTTGTTGAATGATACCAGAAATGTATAAATATACTTTAAATATTGTCCTAATTGAACAAAATAATTATAATGTTTTATACAATTATAAACATAAGTTCAGATCTTTTTTGACTGCAAAATAGAACTGACTAACGTTCTCAGAATAACTAATAAAATTAAAATTAATACCCCTTGGATCAATTATTTGTTAGCTTAAAATTCCAATCCCTTAAAGCTTGGCATTATAATCCCTTTTGGATAGTTGTATGCAAAGTACATAATACCAAATAAGAGAAATAAGAAAATAAAATGAATTGGAAGATGCTAAAAATGCGGCAAGCACACTTTGCCTGCAAATAGTTCAGAGATTACTGTAATCCAAAGTGCCAGGACAAAAAGAATATAAGAGATTCCAACTTGATGCGAATTAGGTAGTTGGTATGGCTGTCCACCAATTTCATCTACGTGAAAGCCCATTGGAAATATCACTGCTGCAAGACAAAACAGCACCACTGGAAATATTATTAGTAAAGTTTTCCAGATGTCCTGGTGTTATAAGATTAAAAAAAAAGTTGTTACTCACTTGCAGTAAATCCAATCCATCGGGCATAGGGAATTGCATTATGATCCCATGGTGAACTGGCCAAAAGTATTATAGTTGTCGTTATCAAAATACAACCCATACATATACAAACAAGTGCCATTAACCACTCTGGTTGTAAATCAGGAGTATAACACATTTGTGGCCTATTATACAGTGTCATACAAGACCACATTAACCCCAATCTTGTATCACCTATAATAAAATTGTTGTCAATGACAAATGTGGAAGGCCATCTAGAAATGATAATCCCTAAACTGCTGGTGAAACTAAACTGAACTAAACTTTTAGGAATATTACGTCATATCGTACGGTGACTTTGTTTTACTAGAAAACTATATCATTTATTTCGATATAAGAAATTTCTAAACTTGAATGTTTTTAATTTTTAGAAGACACTTACCGCCGACATCTGTAATAATCCAGTCAGGCATACCCAAGCTTACTATTGCGAATATATCAGCGGCTAGAAACAATGTTCCAGAAATTATTGTTAATTTATCCATTTTCTTATTGTTTGAAGCGCAGTTTTAAAAAAAGCTATTTAACAGCGAGTCCTGCATCGTTGGTGCGTTGTGCTTGTTTTGACATCTGCGAGTTTCATACAATTTCATACTGAAACGTAAAAGTAGATCGTAGAATGGAAACTCAATTTTGCTGTATTTCTCATACCAACCTGAAGAAAATTTTCTGCGCGGTAATATTTAAAAAAATAAATTTTGTTCTAAATCTTTTTTTAAAATTAAGCTGAATACAATTTTTTATTTTTTTTCATACACATCTACAAACAAATTGTTTTATCAAATACTATAAAATACAAGATATTATAGTCACGATTCTAAATTCATGAAATATTCAATTTGTTAAATGTTCATGTCTGTGAAATTTGAAAATAATAAATAAACAAAGTTAATGCTACTAAGTTTAATACAAAATATTTACCTAAAAATACAAATATAATAAATCAATATATTAAGTTTTATTCCATATTTAACAGACATATCACGTCCGTAAAAGATGTATGTACAATAAAATAATGATCTTATATGGTGCAATGTGCAAAAAATCAGTCATAGCTAAGTTTAAACACGTCTCTACGTGCTTTTACCAAGAATCTAATCACTATTTATTTTTAATTTATCAAAGCAACTTCGTATGGCTCAATAGAATAAAATTAGTTACGACTAGAACTAATAGAATAGTTGTGCATTAGTTGTGGATCATTTATTAATATTATAAACTGTTGCAATAATAAAGAAAGTAAATACAAGTTAGTATTTTCAAGTTTTTCTATGTAAAACTAATGGATGGGAGTATAAAATAGGAGTGCTTGCGGGAAATCTCGAAAATCTGAAGGTTGTGTGGCCTCGGAGCGACGATTCCGCGTACTAAGAGTATATTATTGATCAATGAGAGAAGCTAGCATGGGCGAGCTGTGCCGGCAGAGGCAGCTGTCATATCCGCTGCATTTTTCCACGTCGCGTAGAACGTACGTTAGACGAAGGAAAGTCGAAAAGGTTGTAAAGTGGCCGGTCTCAGCGTGATTTGAACGCGACCGGCCAGCAGTATATAAGTCAAAGGTCATTTTGATTGCAACGAGAGTGGAATAGCCTGTAGCGAGACGAGTAGCAAATAAGGAATAGTGAACGAGTCACGACGACAAGTTGCCTGTTGGAGGAGATGTGCCTGTGTTGTTGACATTCGAGCCTGTACCGGGAGAGTGTGGTGAAAATTGAAGGTTTCGCGAATAAACGTCGCTACGTAGGACTCCTGATGCAGACCCTACGTAAGAAGAACAGCCCGTGCAAGTGTGAGTATTTCGTAATATCAGGTAATGGGAATAATCCATTGTATGAGAGATTAAAGGAAGCTGTGACAGTTTATTGTGTAATGATGGTAATTGGTAGAATTGTGTCTGATGTAGCAGCTCCAATCTACTGGCTTGGATATTAAACGTCATTCTGTAAATCTACACGTATTTAAACCGGTCATGGTGGCACTTTGCCGCTCTTTGAGGGATTTGTTTTAGTTATACAATAGTACTATTTATTGTAGTTGAACTATCAAAGGTCCTTATCTGATGCTAACCATCATCGATGTAAGAAAAACGTATTGAGTTCCGTTTGTAAAATCAATTTGTCATAAAACATTTATGGCGATGATCACTCTTGCACTCGCTGCTTTACCAACTGAGCAGGTTTCATACTAGTAGAGTATTTAGAGATGGCGCCACTTCGTTCAATTCAATAGACTACTCTGCTTCGTAATTTCCTTTGTATTTTATTTTGTGACGTTTTAAGGATTTAATTTGAAGGGAATATATAGTTAGTAAAAATGAAACTTTTATTGTAATAGAGTACTTTTTATATGTGCTTGTTATTTTATGAAGTTGCACAACAATATTATTTTTTGTTATGCTTTTCATATGTAATTATGATAATGTTTCGAATTCAAAGACGAAAAGAAGACATAAGCCATAGGTACTAATCAAGTCATACCCAGCTGGGTATACGAGTGGTGCACATTCAACCGGTACTGGTCCAATGACAGGTGGACCAGTAAGGGTTCATTACTGCCCCCATGTTGTGCTTTTTAAGATATCTTATAATTCATAGAGCACAATTGATACCTTTAAAAGTGAAATTAATATCATTTTATGGTGCAAAAAAAGAACTTACATAAATGATATTCAGACTAGGAGAGACTAGAGTAAACTGATTATGCATGGTAAACTTCATGAATATTTTTTCTCGGTAATATATGAATAAATCGTGTGAGTAATCTGTAGTAATAAAATGAAATCACACTTTTAGAAAAAGTCATTTGATATTATATGAATTTTGAAAGTGTTTTGTAGGGCGTCTAAGAAGAACAAACACACATTTAAGAGATTTGTTCTATGATCATTACCTTTTTAACATTGATCTTTGTTTTTTTATTTATTAAAATTTATCGCCTCAAAAATCTTGACTTATCATCTAAACCTCGTCTAAAAATATTCGTTTCATAAGTTTAGGACAACATGATTGAGGCAAAGTGGGTAGAATCGCTTATATAATTGCCGCTCAGTACGTACGTTTATTAGTATTAAAATTCGAATAAGAATTTTATATTTCTTTAAGGAGTTTCTATGAAGTGAAAATAAAGGTCATCATCTTAAATGTTAGAATTTCAAACATTTAAATTATACCCTCAAGAGTATGTTAATATGAAAAGATTTTAAGGGTTTTATTACGTGCAAATTCTAATATAACTGCGTAAGTTTTATTTATTACTATAAATAATTCGGTTTTTTGATTCAGGTAATTAGTAATTATACTACTATTTATGACGTATCTACTTATATTGCTCTGGGCGCGTTTTCACTTTAATCCATGGGGTATGACAACCATTTTATACGGTGTTATATGTATATTGGATAGGCCAGAAAGTAATTACGTTTTTTCTAATAGATGGAAATACATGTCTTAAGAAAAAAAACAGAACTACTTTTTGGTTTTATATATGTATATATGTATATATATTCATGCTGACATGATAAATGTAGAAAATTGCAGGTTATAGCAAATAGATGATATTTACAAAAGGTTTAAGCTTTAATTTTGTATGAATCATTTTTTTGTTTGACTATTCGTTTACTCCACGTAGGGTAAATCCACCAGTAAATAAGCACCCGTGTTAAAATCACTATATATATATATGTATCTATAATTTACGTGACGCGTCCGTCTACTGGAGTCTGTGCATTTACTGATGGTGTTTCCCTGGCCCCCAGATATCATATTATTATTCAATTTTTGTTGTTACGTTATATATATATTCAAGTGAGACATTTTATAATTATTTTAAGAGTAAAGTAAAAATAAAATTTGCTGTTTGAAATGTTAAAAATTCTATAATTAATTTGTGGAATATATTCATACATTGTTAAAAAATAAAGAATCAATACGAACCAATCTGTCTACTCCTTAAGTTGGCTTTGTTTTACCTTTATAACTCGTACTCTCAAATTTTCATGCGGATATTTATCTTATCAACTGCTGAAGAAAATTATAATCGTCTCTTCTATAGTTTACATTACTTTATATTACAAACAATTGCTCAATTACCCAAAAATAAACATATGTACTCCAAAATAAATACGAAAATTATTCGTTAAAATTTTAAGTTTGAAGATAAAATTGTATTATGCAACAAAATTTTTCTACAAGGTACGTCATTCGTCAATTAGCAAGCTTAAATAAAACAATCGGAAAATCGTCATTGGAAACATTAGGTTTAAAGAATTCGTTAAAAAGTTTTTAGAAGGTATCATGTTATATCGTCATTAAAGCGGTTTTAACTAACCAGGGTTACAGTTACGGCTCCCAGCCTCTTTTCAGCAAGTCAACTTAAATTAATGCAGTACATATTTAACTTTGCTAGTGACAGCAACCTAAATTATTTTTAAGCAAAATGTGTCTCTGTAAATTCAATTCCAACTAACAGATCGAATAGTAAAAGTAACCCATGTGTATCATTATTAAAAAAGTGTTACATCTCTTGTTGAGCAGAAGCTACTGATTTTTAAAATAAAAATATTGTATAGGGCGGCAATCGATTTTTCTCCAAATTATTGCAATTAGGTTCTCAGTGCATGTTCGTGTTTTGGCTATCAGTCTGCCATATGCCTAAATAGGGTCTGACACTACTTACGGTCGTTTGTATAAATGATAATAGTCACGGGAACCCCTTTGGGGAAACTACACACAGGTAATATATTTTTAGGAGTGTAGCCAACTGTGAAATTGCAATAGATATAGGTATAAAAATTTACATAGGTTATGTTTCTTATTACATTATTTTTATTTGGTGTCTCCTTTTAAAAACCACATGTTCAGCTTACCTGTACAGTTAACGTTGACGCAGAATAATAGCCATTTAACCCTTAGACCGTCGGTATTTCGAAAATCGAAATATAGCATCTTTCTATGCACATTCCCATATAAATGTCCGTTTATTGGTCGACGTGTACGAGTCATCAGGTGAAGTCGAATCGGGTCGTTTTGGTGGGCTGAGGGTTAATAATGCTAAAAAATATTTGACAATACATATGAATAAACGCATGCATGACCTGCGTTTAGATCAATTTTTTAGATTGGTAAAAAAAATATTTCATTATTCACTGCATGAGCACTTGCCAATTCGAGCTAGTTCAAGAGGCTATTTTCTGATAACTCATAATGTAAAAGAATCCTAAATCCAAAATTGAATCCAGGCAGCGATTGTAATAATAGTGCTTAGGACAAATAACTACAATGCAAAGTCATATTGTAAGAAGCAGTACGCCATATCCACATTTGTGGGTAAATCGAGAAGAATAGGTCATACTCATAAAACTGATGGTCGTTCAGGTCATTGCGCGGAGTTCATGCGGATTCTAATGTTCGCTTGATCTATTTATTTGTACAGATGACTGCTTGTGTCCTTTTTCCAATTTGCTTTTGGGATGAAATGGCTGTTTGCTTTATATTATGCCTTACACGTCACCACAATACCATACACGCCATATGAGAAAATTGTCCCTTTTGTCATCTGCTCTAAATATCCTCCACATGGTTTTCTGGTTATACAAAGTTTCAATGAGGTATGGTTAGAAATAGTTTCGGTAGCAGGGAATCTATATCTATAGGTACTTGTTTCTAGTAAAATATTTTTGAATTTTTGTTCTTGTTTGCATAAATATAATTGAATTGTTACTGTACAGTGATGCGATGAAGGATCGATGACAGATTTAATTAACGCGAGATTTCCTCTTATAGATGCACTGAACTAGGATCTGCGCGTCGTAGGGTGAATTCAGATTTAAATTGTTGATGCGATTACGCAGCTTTGCGTTTACACCTAGAGTGTTCTTACTTTCAATCGTTTGATCGTGCATTCTGCAACGCTGTGGGATACTAGATCGATCCCCTCTGTTTAGTATTGTATTTCATTTTATCCTCTATACTGTAGATGTATATTGATTTGCCTAAGTCGGCATTGCAAAATTGTCTATGGGAAATTTAATTGAGTGGAAAATACTCTAGAGGTTTATTTATTTCATAATTCGTTCAAATGACATTATTGGCTGTACATACATAAGTAATTTGAAATATGTACAGGCTTACTAAAGAGTATTGTACCACGTGGAAGTGGTTTTAAGGTGGAAATTTGATGGGCAGGCTAATTTCAGTTGGCGTAATATTTTTGGATAATACTAATTATTACTTATTTTCAAGCACACCTGTAATTACAATTTTTATCTAAATTTTTCATGAATATCTTATTTCAATATGAATGAACACACCTAATGCTCTGAAGTATCGAAATATGGTAAGTTAATATTCGTTCGTTCGTATTTCATACAGGGATTATGGAAACACTATGGGTAACAGTGGGCAAAATGAACCAACCGTTCGCCCCTGAGAATAGTGCAATCTCAGACGTCAAATTTAATTTATGAATGAGAAAAGGGTGATACAGAAATTCCCTTTGGTAGACACCCACGTAATAAATTGACAAATTATGGGGGTTTAGCCAGAGTAATGTTATTTACTCGATTGTCTCGTTAATCCCGTAATATATTATAAGTTTCTTATTTGTGAAACGTATATCTTCTCGTTAATGAGTCAAGTGTGCGTCATCGAAACATTAATAACCAATCGCATTGAAGATATGTTTGTTTATGTGATATTTAGTGGTAAATTACTGTTAATTATACATGTATATAGTTTTATAATTAGTTAATTATTAGTTTATATTTAATTATCATGTCTCTATGTGAACTTTTGCTTTTGCTGAACTCTGCTCATTGCACCAAATTAGCAGCTTCTTAAGTGTGTATGCAATAAATTAATCGAAACTCTGCTTTGAGGAACTTCTTTTCTACAATCTTGTTGTTTTTTAATGATACATTGTATATTTATTTAGCTGATTCAATTAACGTTTAATCTAACCTAAACGTATAATAAGCCTTGCTGTGAAATTCGGTATCGTATTTAGTCATGACCTGTAAACCTATGGTGGGATAGGTAGAACAATGTCACACGAATCCCGAGTGTTTTCACAGTCACCTTTTTATCTTGATTTTTAATAATAAATTATTTAAATTTGAATTGCTGGATTAATGTGTCTCTTTTTAGGATACTTTTGTACGTATTAATATGAAGGATGGTGTATGCAAATTTGATATTAATTTCTTATTAATTAATAATAAATATAGGTAAACAATACGTAGTTATACCTGTCACACGATGGCTAATTTTCTTACACGAAAATTATTGAACCTCCACAGTAGATGTTTTCTTTCTACTTGGAAGGTGAATTGCTCCTGCATGTGTGTATAATGTACAAAGGTAGATAAACAACGCATCTGTTATCACGGGAAACAAGAAAATGAGGAAAGAGAAGACGAAGGAGAAAGTGGGAGGGAAGAGAGTGAGAGTGAGTTTATAGAGAATAGAGAAGGGCTGAGTAGTAACCCCGTGGATTTTCAAGTGTCGACAGTTGGCGTTCTCCACTCGAGCGTGCGAGTACGTTCAGACAAATGCGCCGTGAGCCTCGGTCATTAAAGTCGAGGGGGAAGGAAATGCTTTAAAGAGGAGCTCTGCGTTGTTTTTTTTTCTACGTGTGCTAGTTCACGTCTTAGTATTCAGAGAATTGGGTTTTCCAATCTCAGAATAATTTATATACATTTACTGTTCAAATTTTGCCCTTCTTCAAATTTAAGCTACCACACTACGACAAACAGAAAAGATCTGTTCACGTTGCATAATGACTTTTTTTTTTTGGTATTACTACATACATCCCTTGTAGATGCATGAATGATTAAAGATAATTAGAGCAAGTGTCAAATTTACAGCTTGCAGGTGGCCAATCGAATAAAAGAGTTGTAAGAGTATTTCATGGAAAAATTTTTTTATAAATAATATTTTTGTCCTCTTAATACATGACCTTTTTAATGGGAGACGATAATAGCGCAGAATTTTTCAAATCCAATAAGTGTTTACCCCTATATGCAAATAGAACCCGGGACAATACAGTTCTTGCCCTTGTCAGGGCCCTTCTATTCGGGACGTGGCATAGTGCTAGTTCTGACAAGTGGTGTGATTGCAGGCTTGGTAGCAGCAAGAGCAGAAAAGTTGCCAAGAGAATTCAGGGTGGCGCGGTGGGTCGCAGGAGATCTGAGTGCACCAAAGTAAGAGGCACTCAAGCGTATTCTAATTTTCGAATGCTGATTGAAATCGGTTCGACTATTCGATCGCTAAACTCGTTTGGCTCTATCAGGCCTATCGGTGTTGCATCTCGCTGCGGGACCCCCCGCAATCTCAAATTTCATTTGATCCTTGCGTTATGAGATTGTCCTTAAACCGAACCCGCTTGTTCACGTAGACCACATATGGAGTGAATGCTTGTCAATCCATGAATCTTCTCTTTCTATATTAGTTCGAGACGGGTGCTTTTCTTTTGTCGCTAGTTCTGCTAAATTAAACATTCATAATGTCAATATAGAATTAATAAAAAAGCAGGGTTCCATTATTTTCAAATAGTAATTAAAATATGCAGCATGCTTATAGTGTATGATTTGTTTAAAATAACATGAATACTTTTGGATTTATTTTTGCATCTTTTATCATGGATGTATATGGTAAAATAAGATCAAAAATATATTTAAAATAAAACGGATGAATACTTAATTTAGGTTTTGATTGAAGAAAAATAATGTTTCCGCCCGGGATCGAACCGGGGACCTTCCGCGTGTTAGGCGGATGTGATAACCACTACACCACGGAAACCAATGTTACTTGATGTACGGTGTTGCGAAAATCTAGGATTCTTATGATTATTTATAACAGTTATTATTACTATTACATTTTTTGCGTTTTATGTTAAAATAAGTAGTAAGTGAACGTGAAAAAAACGAGGAGCTAAATATAAAAATATAAATATTAGTTTGCAAATAGTGTAGAAGTTATACATATAGTCGAAGATCTATAGGTATCAGGGTTTAACCATGATATCACAGTCTCATTGATTTTATAGAATTTTTAGACTTTACCATGGCAGGTGCGCACTTGAATAAATTTCTACAATTTTGAAACAATTTTTTAGGACGTATTCTTATTTTGCAAGAACAATGGCACATAATTTTCATGCTTTTTTTCTTATTTTCAATTTTTAGGTAGATATTCGCTGTTATTCCTCTCGATTAAAATATCTATGTTCTTCTTGACATGTAAAATCATTCGGAATTAAAATATAATTTTAATTAAAAAATGTCTTGAATAAAATTGATATTTAGGTATATGAATTTATAATTGAATTTATAAGAGTTCGGTAAAAACCAATTTTGTTTTGCCACATTCACTTCCCACAGTGGGAACATCGTTAGGTCCGTTTATCTGTATATTGCAGGGTTTTTTTAACATACCTCGGATGTTTGTATGGATTTTGAAAATATAATAAGCTACAGATTATTTTCTTCCACTATAATAGGATTTAAGGTGAAACGATTAATGTAATGAAGCAAATACGTTTATAAGTTTAGTCTCTGAAATACCACATAATACAAATCCAAAAAAAAATCTCTTTACAAAAATCCTAGCAAACATATACAGTAACAGTTACATATGAGCAACCTTAAAATTTCGTACTTAAGGATATAATAGTAGTGTAGATCAGGTGTTTTTATGACAATTACATCGTTAAGTAAGAAATACTTGCATTTTCGATATCTAAACGTTTTCTGTCTTTGCTGAGATAACAGTATTAGATATACAGAGTGTTCTGGAAATACCGGACTAGAACTATACCATCTGATGCGGCCTGACATAATGAAAAAAATGGTGCCAATAAAATGAAGTTTTTAATTAGTTTTTGAGTATTTATGAATTAAAGATAACCTATGAGGAGCATGTGACAATTAATAACGGACACTTGATAGGTTATCTTTAATGGATAATTACTCAGGAAATAATTTTTTATTTTATTGACGTGGTTTTTATTATTCTTTTTTCGCCGAATTAGACAGTATAGTTTTTATTCGGGACTTATGGAACACCCTGCATAGGAAATAATCTTAAGACTGACCATACTTCCGATACGTAGACATAGACTATATTTATGTATGACGATCTACACGTATGATTAAAATGTGCTGTTAAAAAAAAAAGTATCTAAAAGGAAAGACTTGTTCTGCTTTCAGTCAAGAATGAGCCGACCCGTTTCCTCGGGGAAGGGGTATCGTTCAAGGCAAAATTAATCGGCATTTTGGAAGTATCGGAAGCACGCGGTGACCGGATGTGCCAAGCAGCGCTGGCCGATTTGAAAATGGCAATTCGGGCAGCCGGCGAACACAAGCAGCGGATTGCCGTGCAAGTCAGCATCGACGGTCTTCGATTGCGAGACGAAAAAACGGGGGTAAAACAATACTTTTGATTGGAGTCCAATTTATTTTAAAATAGAAAACTTCTCTGGTGTACTTTCCCAATGAATTGTGCTTTATATCTTTTTTGCACAATTATGTATTTTCTTGGCAGTTGGCAATCATTGAAAAACATAGGGTACATGTTTATCCGGATTTTATTTTCTATAGAGATAATTAATATTTTTTAAATTACTAATAACTTTATACATCTATACTTTTATTTATGATTATGTTGTATACGGAGTATTTACTAGTCGTAGAATATGCATGAAATCGTCGTTTATTCCATCTTATTTCAATTACGTATTTTTATTTATTTATAGGCACACGTAGTTTTCGTGAAAAATTCGTAAAAAAAAAGGCAAATACTACGCATTTTTTATGGTAAAAGTATATCAATTATAGAGAAAAAGAGATGAACTGCGATTTTGAGAAATATTTTATGTCGAATGGTCGTTTGAAATGGTTCCGATTTTTTCGATCATTGATATATTAATGACATTCGTTTAATCAGAGCTATCTTAATACAGTTTTTAATCAGCTTGAGGAACTGTGCTTCTTCAGCATGATTTGCTAGAATATCCCTGGACACGCTTTTTATGCTGCAACGCTTTCATCGATCTTAGCGAGGATTAAAATAAATATAATAATATTCTTATAGCGTAGTACTTTTTATAAACATGAATTACACGTGCGTGAAAATTTCAACTTGCCTTCTGCGATTAGTATTATATCCATTTTTTTCGTAATTAATATACAAAACTTGAATCTTTTGACATTCCGCAGTACGGCGCATGTACTGTTGCATGAATATTTTTCATAAAATTTTGATAAACTAAGAATTTGTTTTTATTTATATGTATATATATTCATTCTTGCTATGTGAATAAGATTCAAGAAATAAGGATAATATATTTCGAATAAATCGATTTTTTTTTTCTGTAATTAACACATTAACGACTGGTGCAAAAGTTATTAGAATTTTTGGTGCAATTTTCCACCATTGGACGTTAATGGGTTAATACGAAGTAAAATCATTTTTTTATGGCTCTGTATTCATTAGGATCTTAGCTTCAAAATTGTTTAGTAGTTTGCAAACATTATACGTACTATGATTTAATTTTCTGTTGACCGTTAAAAATATGGTTTCGTGCCTGTACGTACTTTTAGAATATCACACGTTTTTAGCGTCCGAATGATTTGCGGCACCTTGCATGGCACTGTTGAAGATTTTAATTTTTGGTAAGTAAATCGAAGCTAGTCAAGCGCATCATTATATTTTTTCGTAACCGCACTGTTGTTTCCGTCATTTATATTTTCTTTTTTTTCAGGATTGTCTTTATCATCATCCCGTTCACAAGATATCTTTCATCGCTCAGGATATGAGCGATTCGCGAGCATTTGGATACATTTTTGGCTCTCCCGATACAGGCCATCGATTTTTTGGAATTAAAACAGACAAGGCTGCTAGCCAGGTGGGTACTAGGTGCAATAATTATCTACAATTTTCATAAATATAACTGCAAAGAATATGTAAGAGGGTCTTGCGCAATGACTATTGCAAACAACGATCTTTGTATTTGAACGTAGGTCCGCATCTGGAATTCCGGATGAACGGCTGAATCAGTTCGCTTAAACATCAGAGAACAAACACTAATTTCCGGGTGCAGATTATGTAGTTGAAAACATTTACAGATGTTCAGCACTTTGAACTTTTAAAGGAAAACATACGCAAAATTGTTTTTGTTCACCGACAATTGCAAAGGCAGACAATACTCAAAGAAATTTTACATGTTATACAATTATGAGTATATTTCATTGAAATCATTATATTTTACATATGTTCAGGATTAGACAGAAATACGTCAGATTGTGACTTTGGAAACTTCATTAGGGTGTAAACTATAAACAAATTTTGATTTAAGTATGAATTCATTAACCTGACCATATTTTATATCACAACATTGAACGACCGCTAGATGAAATTTTTGAGAGAAACTTGTCTCATCTGTCTTGAACAATCGAATTTGAAAAGAGATTTAATAAAATAACTTTTTAGTCTAAAATTAAAGTCTTAAAACGGATGTGACTGGTAAACATTCACGGTGTATTTTAAAGTCCTATTATATTTAATTCTAGAAAATCGTCTGCGTTGGTGGAAGTCTGACAATTAATTTATGGAGACCAAAGAACCCTCGTAAGACGGAAAATTATGTTTACCTAAACTGAGAATCAATTTCGAAAACCGCGACGTACTAAGTCGAGTCGAATCCGTTCGAGTTGAATTGAGTTGAATCGTGACGACTTGGTACTCAGTACATTTCATCTCGTCCCCTTTTGAAGGAGGGTTATATGTAAATAATAGTATTACGTTGTCGGTTTGCTGGGCTTGAAACTCTGCGTTCGCCATAGGAGGTTGTCATCAGATTATTGCCAGTTCCCTTCACATCCGTCTCAACGGACGACCGCCCTCGAACTTCATGGAATTCAAATCAGTTTCAATCTTTTCTATTTCTTTCTCCTACCATTGTCATATTAACCATCACCGTCACAAATGATTTCACGATCATTACTACTGATCTCTTGAGTATCTATCCTTGAGTATCTAGTACTTAAAAACATGTTTACTTCTGTTTCTATATGCTTTTGCGTAAGAGATAAAAATTTACTTTTAATTTTACATATATTCAAACTTGATCAAAGAATAGAACAGAATTTTAGGAAGAAGGTATTCTTTTAAAATTCTCTTGAGATCTGTAAATATTATATAATTTATTTTTGGGAAAATTACAATGTTATTGTATCAAAATCGTTTACTGCGAAAAATATCTTATTTGAAGAATCTGAATAAAATTTTTCAATGATAGTGCCCACGTAGAAAATGAGGAAGGAGAAAAGTTTAGTGTTTCCGGAAGTGTGGTTAAAGAGTAATCCTATATTTTAGAAAAAATTTAAGAATGGCTTATGAGGTCTAAAACTATGGGCTTTAGTCGTAAGTCACACTTTCGGAAACGTTTCATTTTTTACGTTCTTCTTTCTTTATACCAATGAAAATTTCAATAAATGTTTTCTGGGCATTTATCAAACGTAAAATAGCCGGTTCGAATTTACGGATGGTAAAGCGTCATTGTCTAGCTGTATGTACTTTGTGGCGGACAACCAAATAGATAGAGCAGTGAATTAGTCAGCGAGGTAAATAAGGATTCTCTCATTGAGAATATTGCAATACCAGCGAGACGAAAGTTAATCAGTGGTAGTATATAGCTTTTTATTCCCACAGAAATACACGAGAAATCGTAATATTTTACACAACAAATGTTAAGTTTTCTTTTCTTATCATGTTTTTCATGCCCGTTGTCTCTACCCAGTATAATTTTGATTACATGAAAAGTAGGTTGTAAGAATATTAATAAGTAAATTATATTTCTATTTCAATATTTATTTTAATCGAAGTCTGTGACTGTTATTCATAATTTACAGTGACAGTAATTGCTTCCGCGATTTACCAAGTGTTGCAAATATAAACTGATATCGAAAAAGATATTTAAATTTGCTATATGTATTTAAGACAATTGCATGGAAAATCTTTATGGTATACCTTATTATGCATATATTATCTAGGCTAATGATGAATTCGAAACCGATCATATAACCATGATACAGTGGTTACCATATTATTGAATTTGACTATAGTAATATACGGAATTGAAACGCATTTTTTGTGCACAGGTTTAATTGAATAACGTACTCAATAACGTACGAGTATTCAAAATATTAAGAACGAGTACAATATCTGTTTCGACAATTGTCTTTACATCGTCAACCGCGCAATAATGAAAGTATCATTGATGAAAGCACGCGAAAATGAAGTGTATCATGTAATGATCCGTATGATATAGTTGGATAGTTTCTGTAGGAAATTAAATTTTATTGATATTGTTACGTAGGCCGTAGTGGCTAGCGAGGCCTTTAAATTTGATAACAAAAATTTAGAAGTAACCAAAAAAAAAGAAACGACCGGAGGTAACGTGAATAATGTTTATTAATTCAAAAATTAGGTTTTTTTTCGTGTACGGTTTGGATTAATACTAAAACAATATAGATTAGTTTCCGTGGTGTAGTGGTTATCACATCCGCCTAACACGCGGAAGGTCCCCGGTTCGATCCCGGGCGGAAACATTATTTTTCTACCTGATCAATGGTATCAAATTAGTATCAAATTTTTTGACGTTGTAAAATAATTATGATATTAATGTAACATTAGGAAAATATTAATGTTAGAAACGGCTTGTAAAGGAAACTGTTTTTTTATTCATTTTTGTTTTGAAACATCAGTTTCATTGAATACATCTTTATATTTATATAAATTTATTGATAAATCTAGCGTCAATGCTATTATAACTCGTTAATATAATGTGTATTTGAGAGACATTGCGTAAAATTAATGATTAGGTTTGATGGACATATTATGTATTAGGCTATCTTAGCTCAATTTACGCCCATGCGATTCACATTCCAATATTTCGCGTTATTACATTAATTGGAATATTAATTTTGGTGATTTTTGAATAAAATAAGTTATTTGTTTAACCAATAATTGAGCATATGTATGTCGTTTCATAGTGTTCATATACGATGTAAGGACAATTATTGTGGAAATTACAACTTTTGAAATTATCAATGGGCTCATGATTTGTATTAGTGACTCTCAATAATATATATGTTTCCGTGGTGTAGTGGTTATCACATCCGCCTAACACGCGGAAGGTCCCCGGTTCGATCCCGGGCGGAAACATTATTTTTCTACCTGATCAATGGTATCAAATTAGTATCAAATTTTTTGACGTTGTAAAATAATTATGATATTAATGTAACATTAGGAAAATATTAATGTTAGAAACGGCTTGTAAAGGAAACTGATCATTGAACGGGTCTTTACGTATCACAATATTTTATACGTTAGGTAACTTGAGGAATGGAACGGTAAGACTTTTGAATGTAACGAGTGAAGGGATTACGAACGCGTGCGTTGTACGTGAACTTATGTGCAAGCAACCTACTTTCGTATATGAATGAATTTATCAATTGGATTAAGTTCAGTAAAATTGCATGTAGTGCAAAAATCAATGAACGTTTCATTTATGATGTTAGGAATGCTATCAATAGCAAAAATAACTTTGTCACGAAACTCGAATCTCAAGCACAATTGAATTCACATATTCGTAAAACTTTATATTTTACTAATTTTACAAAAGAATGTGGACACACAATTATTTAAATGGATATTAACACACTGAATCCTTTGGAATTAAAGTTTGGAACTTAACTTAATTTAACTTTATAAATTAAAGTATTTGAATCAATTTATTTACCAACTAATAGTACGTAAGAAGAACGTGAAATAAGGACAATAATGGCTTTATAATATATGTACACTACCGGTCAAAAGTTTAAGTTCACTTGCTTTATTTTAGAATTCTACACAATTAAGTCGGCTACTCAGTGAATTTTGTCAAGCACGTGCGTCTTACCTATAACAAGTCGATACACGCTACTGGTCAGAGTGTAGGAGGGAGTTTGGCGCGTTTGGGAGACGCGTAGATCGAGCACCAACTTGTTATGACAGGTTGCATTCTCTCGATGCGTCTAGTGCATATTACGCGTAACATCTTAGTGCTTGAGAGCTCTTTCCAAAAGTTATATTTCTAATTGTTTTTCATTATTTTCTTTACAAAAAGTTAAGTACAACATTTATCATATTGAAAATTGTTACTGTTAAAGAAAAATTTATATTTAAATTGACGTAATTCGACAAATATCATCTCATTATTGAAATGTGAAGAAAACAACATATTTTATGTGTCAATCGTAGAGAAATGGGTCGAAAAGCAGAGTTGAGTGTAGAGACACGAGCAGTCATTGTGACATTACACGGAGAAGGTTATTCAACGAGAAAAATTGCTTCTAAATGTGATGTTTCTCAAACTGCAGTCATGGGAGCGTTACAAAGAAAGCGAGGTGAACCTAAACTTTTGACCGGTAGTGTATATGTACATCATGGCATTACTGTACACATGATGTTACCATAATTTTTTCTAACGGAAATTTGAATACTTATAGATTTACACACACATTTATATGTGCCACATGCATTAACCCATGTATATTTTTAAATACGGTTAGATTTCTATCGTAGGTTTTAAACACGTATAAACTTACAGATTCACGCTTACGTTTGTTGGCATAGAAAGCATGCTGTGGCATTTCGTCAGAGTACAAAGCCTTCACTAGATACTTGTTGACTAAGGTCATTCAGCAAAGACTGAACTAAATACAGTTTCCTGCAGTGTCCAGTGTTCCATTATTTTTAGTAACTTAATTTCATAGGCTAATAATTCTTACTCGCTAAACATAAGTAACAGTGATATTGAAGTGAAATCATATTATGCCCTAAATAATTTTTGTTAAGTTTGTTGCTGAGTGCATAAATATCAAGTACATGACATTCTTAAATAGTGAAGTTCGAAGTTCTGTCAATTATAGTGATTGAAAGTAACTCAGACATTTTACCTCACCGCAGTGACAATTTTTAATAATTTTAGTAAAAACTTTTGGTTGCGAACCAACTGTAACTGGTTATATGATAGATATCAAATGGACGAAATAGTCTCTTTAATGACTCTCTTTACTTTAGTCTTGAATATCTCTGTATAAATAACATTAATTATTGTAAGCTCAATCAATGTAATTGGTGTTATTTAAATAAGAAATTCTATCAGTTTTCAATTTGTTTATGAAGTCTCATACATTCTGCATATACAGGGTGAGTCACCTAACAATTGCACCTCAAATATTTTTATTGTTTCTATAAATACGTAAAATATGGTAAGGACAAAGTCGAATGGTACAATAGGGCTGACATGATCACAAACAAAATTTTGTTTTCATATCATTTTTTAGAAATAAAAAGGTCGCCTTGGCTTTTTTAAATGGAACCATCCTTTTTTTAAATACCTACAGTGATAGTCCCTTTCATTAGGAATTCAGCGATTATAATTATTCCAAGGTCATTCAAGGTCAAGGGCAGAAAAAACGTATAAAACTAAAATATGGAAGCAGAATACCTTTATAGAAGTACGCTCAATTTTTGCAAGAAGATCTGCCAATTCTGTTAAGGCGAGTTTACACCAAGCGAGCATCCACTGCGAACACTGTTTGCGAACAATCGCGAGCAAGACGCTCGGGCGGTGTAAACACCCGGCCGCACCGAACACCGTTTGCGAACGCTGTTCTCGAATGTTCGCGAACATTCGAGCTCGATCCGCGACTTGTCGGTAAACCGACGAATCGTCAAAGGATTCACTGTTCGTTGCTCGTCCGGTATGAGCAGTACCTAGGTACTATCCGCAGGAGCAAGAGCGGCCGGTGATTCTTTTCAACACTTGAGTACGTGTTTGTATTATTACGTCTTCGTGTTTTTATTTCCAAAAATGGAGTGGGACAACGAAAAATGCCTTGAACTGATAGGATTGTACAAAGAGAAGTCAGACCTTTGGCAATTCGATCATAAACACTACTACAACAAATTAAAAAACCATGATGCTTGGTAAGAAATGGCCATTAAAATGGAAGTATGTACCTGTTGACTTGGTGAAGGGAAAAATGAATTTCTTTGACAACGCTGGTGCCAGGTTTGCGCACTTTTGTCGGAACTTCGCCGAATGTTCTAGAACAACTGCTCGATCGGGCGTGCTCAGGCAGTGTGAACGGGGTCGTCCCTTCATGTTCGCGAATGTTCGCAAACGTTTGCGAACGTCTGCGAACCTTTGCAAACAATGCTCGCTTGATGTAAACCCGCCTTTAGAAGACGTCCCTTCACAAAATCGCTATGATATGTGGTACCATCATGACGGTTGTCCCGATCATTTTGCACGAGTAGCAAGAAAAACGTTGGATTCTCGATTTCCAAACCGATGGATTAGACGAGGCGGAACTGTTTCGTGGCCAGCACGCTCGCCTGATTTAAATCCACTGGATTTCTTTTTATGGGGTCTACTAAAAGACCGTGTACATGGATGCTCCGCCAACAGTTGAAGATATGCTTCAGCGTATCATCACAGCATGTACGAATATCACCTCGGATGTACTTATTAGAGTTCAACATTCCTTCAGAGCTCGTTTACAACAATGTATCGACGTAGACGGCCATAATTTCGAACATTTATAAAATACAGGTATTCTGCTTCCATATTTTAGTTTTATAAGTTTTTCTGCCCTTGACCTTGAATGACCTTGGAATAATTATAATCGCTGAATTCCTAATTAAAGGGACTATCACCGTAGGTATTTAAAAGAGGGTGGTTTCATTTAAAAAAGTCAAGGCGACATTGATATCTCTAAAAAATGACATGGAAACAAAATTTTGTTTGGCATCATGTCAGCCCTATTGTACCATTCAACTTTGTCCTTACTATATTTTACGTATCTATAGAAACAATAAAGATATTTAAGGTGCAAACGTTAGGTGATTCACCCTGTAGATGATTATTCGGCAGATGGTTGACGTAATGTTTATTTTTTGTTGCAATAGGTGGTGATAGCGATGCGGGACTTATTTCAAGTTGTGTTCGAATTAAAGAAAAAAGAAATAGAGCTGGCGAAGCAGCATATAGAACAAAATGCTATTAAATTCCATACGAGTGGTATTTTTGTGGAGCCAGCGCCGGATACAAAGGTAAGGAAAATTATTTATACGTATTATAACGCTTGATCAGGATTCGCATTTATAATATAATTTATATAATTATGATAGTTATCATTTCATCTGTCTAGTCTGCTGTAGTAAATGAATATTGAAACATCAAAGTATATAGACATACAGATAAAGAACGCTTTTCTTTAGTACGTATAAATGTACCATCTAGATTATTATATTTCAGTAATCGTCTTTTTAACTCTGATTATTTATTTAAATAATTGAAAATGATCGCGGATCTTGACGATGACCGACCATTATATCCTCTACTGCGTTACTTTCATATTGAATTAGTAATCGGAAGAGTAACTATATGGTACAAATGTTCTCATGAACTGCGAACCGGTTTATTATTGCTGATAAAAGCATTCTAATTATAGCAAATTGTTAAGTCACTAAATATGCATGTGTGATTGCGCACAAGATAACACATGCATATAATGATTGTAACGCACACGAAATCGAGGGAATTGTGTGAATGGATGAGAAGTGCATACAGCTTCATGTATGTAAACCACGGCCTCTAAACGTACTTTTTCTTATGAAGATTTAACGGGAAGTGGTCAGGGCCACGTCGGGATATCAAGCTCACAGTTGATACGCCGGTCGGAACTGAAACTAAGAAATCCAGCATGCTAATTAAAAAGGAAATATAAGGGAAAGGCGAGAAAGTGAAGCATTTGGGTAGATTCTTTAATTTTATTAATTTTATAAAAACAATGAGGGGCTGAGTCTTCCTTGTCGGCTAAGAGGAATAGATAAATGCGTTTTGCGTCGTTCGTGTAATTACGCTTTGGTCAAATGCGCGCGTAATCAATTAAGATTAATTCAGTTGGCTTAATCATGTGTTTGCTCGATTCAGTTACTTGAATCAAGTAAGTTAGTTAGGGTGTTTCATGTGCAAGTAAGAATAGTTTGAAAATGTGTGTGATTAATTTTTTGAAAATTGTATCGTACGATCCATAAATATGAGGGTCTTCATCTAAGAATACCATATAACATTATACCGGTAATATAAATGTTGTATATCATGTGCAACGTGTACGTATGATGGATCTGGTCAGAAAATAGACGTAACTATAAATTTAGAACTATAATTTTCTGGGTAATAACTTTAGTAAATTCACGTTTTATGTACTCAAACATTCGTATTTTCGGATTTTAGGCAGGACCGCATGGAACATGTTGATTTCAAAAAGGGGTATATATATATATATATATATAAGTGTGTGTATGTACTTTGTGATGCACACAAATGTTTTTAAACATTGTGTAGGAAAAGTGCTGAAGCGATGAGGTTGAAATTTGTTAAAACAGAAAAAATTTGATTTTGAAATGGAAATAATGCAGTGAACTAAATTAATTTTTTTTTTAAATGCATAACACAATTTGGTCCATGCGGTCCTAAGGCAGACTTTTCGTTCTCGTGTTTTTTTTCGTTTCGTGTCCCGGCGACCAAAAATATATTGTATTGTACATGTCACCTATATACATCGAGTATAATGCTATTCTTTCTATTTGGTTTTGCATTATCCATTCATATTTTACTTTGTATTTGAACACAGTAAATCCTTCAGAATTGTTGTTCCGCCATTCATTGTTTCAGTCTCCCTCGTCCCTGTATTTTCTGTTTTTCAGTAAACTATTATGTTCAACGTCGACTCTGCGACTCTTATTTCCTCGAAATTTTTGCCCAACTTATTTCTTCGCCGGGATTTTCGAAAAACCTCATTTCGTGTTTTCTTCTTTGGACTCTTGCGTGCGATTCTCTGTGACGCAATATTGGCTGATTTTCAGCTACGTGGCATTTGTCCAACTTTCGATTTTTGGAATCAACTGTTCGTCGCACGACTTTATTACAGTGTCGTTCGAAAACTGCACGAAAGCGAAAAATAAAGAGTTCAAAAAAAAAGGCTTACACTGATTGTTGCACAGGGTGCGGCGGGTAGCGAGACTTCGCTTCATCGGAATCGAACTTTAAATTCCGAGATCGATAAACCCGTCGAGAGAAAGCAAGAGACGCAGAGTGGCGTGATAGCCGATCTTTTGGATCTGCAGTTCGAACTGAACTCGTTACAGCAGGGGATTCATCAGATGGATAAGATAACTCCTGATAATCCAAGGCCGTCATCTGAAGATCCTTTTGAAACGGATCCTTTTGGAGATTCCTTTGCCAATATGAAGGTACAGTTAACAATACAATTTTTATTGCAAGATGAATTTTGACGATTTGTATCTCTGTCTTAATCTTGTTGTTTCATCGTTAGTATAAATACTTGTTTTGAAAATTCTTGTTTCCATATTTAATTGATAAAACGAAAATATTTGTATAGCGTTACGTGCAAGTATTCAGTTTCTCTGTGAAAGAGGAGGTATTCATTTAACAAAGAAACTAATTCAGAAAGAGATGATCGAGCTACGATAAACGAAGAAATCGTTCGCAACAAGAAAAATATGAATTTTAAGACTTTTGTAAATTTTTGAGTATTTCCGTTTGTTTACAGGTAAAGGAAACTGTTCAACCAATTCTGCCTCCACCGCCATCTTCCGCGAAAAGGGGCCATCTTGAGCGGCAACAGACCGTCCCGGTAACGTCCTCCAGCTCTAGTCCAGCTACTATCTTGGCTAGTAAGACTCCACCTCCTCAGGGTCCACCTCAAGGCTCGATTCACTGGTTTGATAAGGAAACGGAGAATCTTTTCAACGAAGGTGAATTGTCTAGCTTGGCGAAGAACTCCACTGCTGAGAACGATAAGGAAAACGTAAGTTTATGAACGATATATTATTTACATATATTTTGAAATTATAAATTTGATGTAATGACTTTTCGTTAACCGTAACTCTTAGCCACGTCATTCTTAGGAGCGGTGTTGTATATTTTCGTTGCAGGAATCCTCAAGTACCACGCCGAGTCTTCGTAAAAGTCCGCAGATTGATGTTTTTACGGAATTGGATCCTCTGGGTACTGGATTGATAAAACCATACGTCGACAAGAAGGACTTTTTTCAACATCTGAAAAATCCCCCGAAAAAGGTTCTGAAAGATTTGGTAACAACCAGTTCCGGTGATACCTTCCCGACGAATTTCAATGTCACCGCGGAACCAATTGAACCCGTAAAGGTTCAAAGTAGCGTGTTCTCGAGTAAGAATACGGATAATTTTGAAGATAGCAATTTCGCAGATTTTGATAAATTCGACGAGAGCGAAGTACATCTGCAGAAGACTGAGTCACCGAAGCCTAAGAAAGAATCTTATAGTCAGCCGCGCCCGACTATACATCATCAGCCTTTATCTGTGTCCTTACCTCCTGAGGAAATATCTACGTCTAAGGATGCACCCATAACTTACCCAATACCTAACACAGCAGCAACTATTTCTGCCATGAATAAAATGGAGAAAGAATCAGCGGAGCCAATCCAAACACTAGTCAGACTACCTAGCCCTAAGAAATACTTGCAATCTGTACGAAGAAAGGAGTTCGATATCGATCTGGCTGGAAGTAGAACTCAATCTTTGGATAAACCTTTTCCCGTAGATTTTTCTGCCACCAGTGATTCTCCGGCATCTCCTTTAAGATCCTGTTCATCCGAAGCTAACTCGAGATTATCTAGTTCGAGTGCCGAACTAGAGATAGTGCCCGAACCGCCTCCTAGAGGAGCTGGAAGTATTCTCATCAATCCACCACCACTTCCGCCAAAGAAATCAACTGCCAGATCCGTGATAAAGCCACCACCACGACCACCGTATACGGAGGGTCACTTCCATTATGACTTCCTGGAGCGAGAGGAGACTTCACCTTCGCCAACGCGTAAGGAACGGAATAAAAGTCCATCTAGAGATTTGAGGAATCGATTTGACGATGACTTTAGTCCACCACCGCCACAGCTACCAAAAAGATCAGAACTTGTTGCAACTTTTCCTAGCTCCAAAATTGACGATTCCTTTGAATCGATGACTCCGACTACACTCTCTTCAATTTTTCAGAGTAGTTATTCGAGCAGGACCTCGACAGAAGTTAAAAGAAGTCCCAAGCCTTCTCTGGACATTACTCTCAGTCAACTGACTTCATCAAATCTGGCTGAACTAGCTGGTAGTCTTAACATGACTGTTAGTGAATTGACTAGTCTGACTCTTCAGCAGTTGACCGAATGCTTAGCTACGTTGTCGAATAAAGATTTAAAATCCGAAGAAAAAACGAACAGTGATAAAAATACAGTGTCCCAATCGCTGCCAGCTCCCACTAAACCGCCACAGAGTACAAAGATAGTGGAGACTTCTTTTATCTCTAGTGAGCATCTTTTCAAAGCAAATTTCGATCAGGAGATGAAGGACCAGGAGAATTCGTCTACGTACGATAAGTACGCTGTGTTTAGAGAACTATTGGAATTAGAGCAGCAGAATCAGAAAGCCCGGAAGGAAGAGAAGAATGAGGATCATAATGCGAAAGAAGAGGAAGCCAAGGTAAAGGTTCCTCCTAAGGAACAAGAGATTTCGCTGCGGTCTAGATCTCCTGAAAAAGAGATTCAAAGCGAGAACTCTGTAGAGACAATAACATCTTTGGCTAATTTGACTGTGCAATTACCGCCATTAGCTGAGGATAGTCTCAAGACTCAGTCCAAAGACAAATTTGAGGATTCATTTAACGAGTCTTGTGAGATAAAAGTTGAAAATGAGGAAGAAAAAATGGATACGCAAGAGCCCAAAGAAGACGAAGGGGATGAGAAGAGTTTGAAGGACCAAATGGGTCTGGCCGCGAGGGATTCTGTTATATCGGATATAGTTTTAGAGTGTGAAAATGAAGAAAATCTTAAAGAAAATAACGAGGAGAAAATAATAGAGACTTTAGTAAGCAATGAGCCTGAAAAATATATTTCTTCGAATAAGGAGAATGACGAAGAGGTGACAGAGAAATTAGAAGAGACTAATGGAGTGTCGACAGAAAAAACTGAATTAAAAGGGTCGAACTCGACTTCTAGCGATAGATACGCCGCATTACGGGAGATCATAGAAGAGTCCGAACAGGCAATAAATAACACTGAGAATAAAGTGGAACGAAGAAATTCTAGTCCTTCCGGTCAGCCTGTTTCAAAGACTCTGGCCGAAATAGATCTTATGAGTCTTTTCTCAAGCCCACTACCTGCACCTCCTAGTCCGAAGAAATCTCCTACGAAGCAAGAAGAAGATCTGAAAGTGGTTGCGATGGATATTTTTGAGGAAATTAAGATGCTCAATAGTGGAACCCAACGTAGCAGCAAAGAAAGTAAGACGAGCTCATCGGGATTCGAGGACGTTTTCTCACCTTTTCCTGACACAAAGAACGAGAAAGATCCTTCGAAGGATGAAACAAACTGGGCAAAATTTGAATCAAACGTTTTTCACTCGGATAAATCCTTTGGAGAAGGACCTGGTTCTATTGGAGGTACGTCACCGTGGTCTCCAGATGGCAAGGAGTTTCATAAGGGATCGTCGTTAAAGGGTAACGCTCATCGACACTCGGGCGATAGCGATAACGAATGCAAAGACGAAGAAGGAAGTGAGGAGAGTAATGGAAGGTTTCGCGATGATGGATCCTGGAGTAGTAAAGGTCCACGATATGAATATAGTTATGAGGAAAGATCTTATTATGAGGTTAATTCGTGTATGACAGATAAGGAGAGGGATTGTCGAAATAGAACGCGAGAGGGTAGAAAATCAAGAGGAGCACCTTGGACTAAAACTGTAAGTCATAGAACATCACGCGATCCTTCACCCTGGTATGAAGATGGAAGATGGGAAGAAGAGCTGCAGCAGCAACCATTATCACAACAGCAACAACCTCAACAGCAACAGCAACATAGACGCTATCTTCACAGGACGCTCCCTTACAAAGATCACGACGAGGATTACAAGACTCATTGGAAGTGCAGACCCAAACAACGACCTTGGAACGGTGAACGTGATACATTTTGGTCTCACGATCATCCATCCTACGAGGAGGAGCGTGGCAAAAGAAGAATGATGCTTTGGAACGATGAAGACCGAGACCGGGATCGGGATAGGGAACGAGATCGCGAGCGTGATCGGGATAGATTCAGCAGTCAGGAGAGTATGGGTTATGACGACGAGGAGCGATGTTCCAGGCGGGAATATGAAAGAAGAAGATGGGAGGAAGATGGAAGGTTTTGGGGTAGAAGAGGTCCTGAAACTGATTATCCACCGTACCCTCCGCGCGAACCTTATCGGAAGCATGAAAGTCATTGCTGTCGGGACGGTAGGGACAGACCTCATGATTATCCTTCTGGCTGGCTTGAGGAAGATTATGGACCCGAGCATGTTGACGAATCCCCCAGGTACCTTTCGAGAAAAAGGCACTGGCCGAAGAGGCCCAACAGCGCGACTGATGCTCGTAACCTTGAACCCATCTATACTGATCCTAGGCCAATTTATGGCGTTTCCAGATCCGAATGTAGCGATAACGATTCTGATCCATATCATCGTCCACACAGGTCCAGGAGTCGGGAAAGCTACTGGGGTAGCGATCAAGAATACGATACCTGTCCGGAAAGGTCTTACTGGTTGGAGGGGCCTGAACTTAAGAATGAAAATCTTCATCATCGCAGGATGAACAGACACAAACGTAGAACGCAAGTTAAATCCCAGAACTCACCCTTTGAAGATGATTTTTCACAGAGTCTCGAGCACGTAGAGCCCGATCCCGATCCATTCACAGCTGAAACAAGACTTCCAATTGATCAGGATATCAAACTTTCAGAACCGTCGGCTATTAGTCCCCGTAGTGGTAAAGACATACCAAGAACTAAAATGCATAAGAAATCCGGACATCTCGAAGATGATCTTACACCTACACCTAGTTTATCGAGCGAACCTTTGGAAAGACAAAAGATGAGCTCTGATACGAAAATGATTCCCGAGGAAAGCTGTGTGCACCCCAGCAAAGATCCGCCTTCAAACGATAGTTTTGTATCGGAGCATAGCGGTAGGGACTCATTTTTTAACGGTGATCCTCGCTTTGACGACGATGCCTTCACCTTCAAATCCGAGCTCGAAGACAATGTCCCGGAAAAAGCTACCACGTTACCGCTCAAGAATTCACGCCAGATGAAGGGCGCCAGCGGAAAGGTGAAGACCGACCATTACATCAAGAAATCTGAGTCCGTTAACATATTCGTCAGGGAAAGCGATCCATTCGATGACGATGATTTTTTTAATTAATCTCCTATTAAGTTAGTGACCCCCCCAAATCGACTGAATCTTATACGCAAATTGGGAACAGTAATGAATGATACTTCGCGTTTTTTTTCTATTTTTTTTTAAATACAAAAAACATGCGGCTGTCATTGTTAAGCATATACATTTTAGATTGTACCATTTTCTCTTTTCTCCATTTTTTTTTTTTCATTTACTATACTTTTTTGATACAGTAGCTTAAAGCGTAGCGTAGTATTACGAAAATCTAAGCTCTACCAAGTATTGGTCAGTTTCGTATTGATCGATAAATTAGATGGATGAACGAGATTGTTTATTTATTCAAAGCACTCGATCTTTATCTTGTCAAAAACGTTGTGACGTGGCCGGTTGATAATGTTTCTTAATCCATGAATACCGCAATTGTTAAATTCTTGCCCTAAGCTCTGCGGTAGTTAAGGGTGAGCTTAAAAGATAGTAGTACTTAAAGAGTGAATAAAAAAACTCCAACCAATAATGATAGCGACCATTTCGAAAACTTTAACGACTCAACGTGCAAATTCGGAAATTTGAGGGAAATCATGAAATAAAATTTGTGCGTCTTACCTGAGAGACAAATATAATGCGACTGGAAACGAACATGGTGACGCAGATAATGACAACGTTGATAATAAGTGACGATAATAATGACAATTCGACTTGTTCTTCGGTTCAGGGCCGTAGACGTCCTAGATTTTGAGTCCCCGTTTTTCATTTCTTTTTTTATATAGAAAAACGCGCATATTTGTACATAATCGCTTGAAGCATGAAGAACCGACGAGAGGGTGGATACGCTGTGGCGAGTGGTTCTCGGGGGGTAATAGTGGCGGGGATGGGTGGTTGTTGCAAAGGGGTGAGGGAGGGTTAGCTAGAGTATTAAACAGTAAAGGTTAGTGAGTGGCGAGATACAGTAAAGGGTTGAAAGGTCAACACACTTCACTATCCGTTTAATTAGCATTTGCCATCGTATGGTACGACGAGAAACAGCAAATCTAGCACTTTTTACATAAAAAGAGAGAAATGGAAGACGTACCTACAAAACTTTATTTATTGTGATTCGTGAAAAGAATACAAAAAAAGGAAAAAGAAGAATGGATTAGCATTGTGGAAGAGTTGAAATTGCGTTATTTCTGCAACGTACTATCCTGGACCACTGTATATCCGTAGATCAGATTAGATACTCTCATTTCATGGAAAATACATACAAAATGAAAGCATTAATTAGCCCGAATGAAAACACGCGCAAAAAGATCATGCGCTCGATTATTGCTAGAAATTGGAAACTCATCTTCCTGTTTTCTAATCTTTATGGCTGTTTTTCACAAAATGAGAATCGATCCGGGTTTAGACAATAGAGACAAGAGATCAAAGTGAATCGAATGACGTTGATTCTACATGTAAAGTTTGAATGTAAAAAAATATCAGAAGCTTAAGAACTTACGGCTGGACCAAATTTGTGTTATCATCTACAGTATTTCTATGACAGAAATATGTTTCTGGGGGCCAACTTATTGTAATTTTCAATGAAGAAAAGTCCCCTTAGCCTTACTTTTATCTGTCGTAGATTGACTATAGTTGTTTCATCAAACGGCAAAGCGATAGAATCATCCCGTGTATTAATTAATTAAAAACATACTATTATAACATGAAAATGAAAGAAGATTGTCTATAAATTTGGCGACATCTAAGATTTCCTCTACAGTATTAAATTTAATGAAAATAAAAAACGAGTTTTGATGTCTTACGGAATACCAATTTCTCGAAATAACGTATCGTGAAATGAGATCCATAATCGAAGACATTTATATGTATACAAACAGGGTGATAACCGAATAACATGTGAAAGGTGATTTTAAAGAGAAAGACCCAGCAACCCATATCTCAGTCAGTCACTAAAATGTGCATTTCACGGCGAACGCTCGACAGGCAGCTCCGGCACTTTCGCTATTTGTAAAAACTCGTAATTATTATTTACGCATTTTTGCCCGATCAATACAAGTATCTTTGTGGAATGTTTTTGCTAGAAGTGTGCGAACTTTTTACGTGGGGCTTTGTACCTTTTGCACGCCAAGATTTTTGAGGTTTTCGAGGTTTTCTGGTGCTCGTATAACGCCAGTCGTCCGTTCGCCGTCGGTTTACTTAAAAAAGCAAAGGACATTAAAGATATTTAACGACATATTAATATATTGTATATTTATTATTATCGATTAATTGATTATATTTCCGATTATTCTCATTTCATAAATCGGATAATCGTTAGCAAACCGTATCTCAAGATTTATTCTGTTAAATTAAACGACGAATTGTACATGAATTTTGCGAAGTAAAAACTTTGACTTCACGTGCAAGCGAATTAAATTGTATGAACTGTATCTTTCGTTCTTTAGTTTATAAATTGCTTTCTTTCCGTGCTTCGAAGGTGATCCATTGGTTAAAGGATCTACAGCTGTGTGTTGAACTTTGCGTTATAATTGCTAAAAATAAGGTGACGTCATGAATGCGAATTGTAACGAGCGAATAGATGCCCAAATTTTCTCCGGATTATAACGCGTGCGTTGTGCCATAACGGGAAGTTCAATGCGTCCTAGCTACATTTATTCATGTTCATAAAGTGCTTCGTTGAGTTTTCTTGTAAACGCGGAAAATGAAGGATTCTATCCTGCGTGAAACTCTGACATTCCCAATTACTCTGTAATATTTCCAGAACGAGTATTGAGGTTGGATAACTTTTCTATTTTGAAATGTCGAATGGATATTAGATGCTGTGTACATGTAGATTATCCGCCGATAATTTTCATATAGAACGATAAGCACGGTTTCGAAAACTTCATCTTATTTGTAACATCCAAAAATTCCCGGCGAAAAGAAGGCAGCCATAGTTCCACTGCCAGCAGATTCCTTTGTCGCAGGATATTATTCCTTAAAGACAACGCAACTATGATCGAGAATGTATGAAAGTGACTCTTCTGTATGTGAATAAATTATTTGGTTGACATTAACCACCGTCTACTGTATTTATACACTAAAACGTTTCTAATGTAATACATATCATGATCCTGTAATATTTCTTTCTGTGCAGCTGTCAAAAGTTCCAAAAACTTTGCCACGATAATTCAAACTAAACATAAGAGCAATAAAACGTAGCAGAGATCCTTCGTATGCCTAAATTCCTTGCCATTTGGAATCGAACAAGGATTCGATACGAAAAGCTTTGTGCAAAAAAAATAAAATATTTCTTGGTTAAAAAATGTCACAATAAAGCAAGTATCATAATTGTCGTTGTAAACGTCGCAAGGTATAAGCGTCTCATGTATGTAGGTACGCGAGTACCTACCCTCAACGTCACAACGTGAGTGTCGCCAAACCCCAGGAGCATTGAGGCACCCTGGTGTACCCTCGCAGTCCTCCGCGCGCCTTGATTTAGCTGGCGCGCACAATGCACAATAAAAGAGCATTAGATCGTAGGCTTTGTTGAGCCGTTGCCGCGACTTGGTGGCACAATGGTGCAGTCGCCACTCGGCAGGAACACTCGAAACACCTGGCAAACAAGGAAACAATGCACACTCCCCTGCTTCGACGGGATTTCGCGCATTTGGGGTGGGCGGGCAGGCTAACAAATTATCACCCTCGTCTCTCCTTTCTCCTTTTTCTTTGCCATTTTTCCTTGTGGCCCCCTTTACGTCTCTTATTCTTTTTCAGTTTTCTTCTTTACCATGTAAGTACGTAAGTATCCTTTTTTTTTTCACTTGGAATAAAAGCATAAGAATTTCTCAGCTAAGAGTCTCCTCGAGGATTTAAAACAATTGCGAAATATACCATTACTGGTGTAAAACCACTTAGCTCTATTGTTAATGTTTTTTTTTTGAACTTACGAATTTTTTATTGCACAAACTGCGAGTTTCACAATCTAGCTGGCTAAATAGGCCATTTTATTCTGTTAAACAGATAAATCTACTATACTGTACGTTTGTTGATAAAAAATTCCTCAGGCTGACAGGTAATTGAGAAAAATCCTTGGTAATTAGTACACAGATTGTAGTAATATATTCGAAACTCTAATAAAGAATGAGGGATAAAATTATTTTGATATTTCGATTGTACAACGTTGCTAGTTTCTAGAATATACCTAACGCAGTATGGCAACCTAACCCGCATGTGCTTGTGCTCGGTACTTCTGGCAGAAAAGTACTCGCGTCCTGCTCGCTTTCTAAAATGAACGAGGTAAAACAGGGGCGAGTGCGAAGTGAAGAGAAAGAAGCAAAGAGAAGGAAACGAAGGAGAGAGAGTGACAGTGAAGTGGTTCGCCAGAATACAAAAGGCTGGCGAGCGAGGGAGCGCAGAACGCAGGGATTACGAAATGAACCGCACTTGAAGCAAATGCAACTCTGAAAGGCCACGAGAAATGTTTATAATTGGGATTGTTGGCTCGTTGTTCGACAGTTTGATATTTCTGAGGGTAGTAAGCAAAGAGAGGCCACATTAAACCTCCTAACCATGGGGGCGCAACTAGTACTTATGGCTGGCATAAGATGCATATATGTATAGTATAGTATAATACACAATGGGTTGATGTGGAGGTAACAAATCCATAACCCATTTCCGAATTTCACGATAATGTATTGACTCTATGAAAACCGAATGCTTATAGATGTTGAACGTGAATCAAATTACAAGAGTCATTTTCGTAGATATGCATGAAAACTTATCTGTGACTCATAATGCAGGGTAATCGATCCTGAAGGTGGTATCACATTTTGCGATTTCGAATTCCTAGTCCGTGCGAAACATTGTTGTATGGTGTTTTAAAATAATATATTTGTTACGTATCAAGTGAACTGAATTGACTGTTTCCGTAAACAAAAAAAACTGAATAGAAATAATTTAATTGAGAAAACATGTTTGTTTTTGTAGTATTCAGCTGTAGTTTTTGAAATTGTTAAATGTTGAAATATTGATTATTGCTGGGTCACAAGTAAAATGGATGCAGAAATTTTAAGTGTGGTTTATGTATGTCACCGAAGTGCGGTGGTATATTTATATGCTCAAGTAACTCTTATTCCAATTATAAAGCGTTGCGGTAACGTGGTTTGCCATGATGCATGGTCAACTATCTCATGGTCATGATTTATGGACTAAAATTTGCTAGTAGAAATGAAGTTTACTCATGCGCATTTAGAAATTGAAAGTTGTGAATATTTGCTAATGTCGTGGTCCAATTTAGATCTGAAAATTGTACGTTTTCTAGAAATCTAAATTTTATTAATTCTGCAATTTGTTTCAAATTTCAGGTACGGTGTATATAGGGGTGTCCCGGAGTTAATAAGCTGTATCGTTTAATGTTAAAATTTAATAAATTCTAAATGAAAAACTTATCAGTTCTTTTTCAAATTCAGCTTCGTTTTCGAGATAAGGTAAGAATATAAAAATTACCAATAAATTCACTCGAAGAGAGCCCGCAGTCAATGGACTGTTGTCGCTGCTTAGATGCTAAAGAATTTTGCATCGAAGTTTCGTTTATTGCAATTGTAAATATTCTTACAATGGATTCCTTGTTCTTCCGGACAAACAATAGTCTTTCTGATGATATTTGCCTAGATCGAGTTCAATAATTTAAATATGGACGCAGATATCTTGTTATTGGCTAAAAATAGCCAGCAATCAGATTACATTCTTCTATCACGTAGAAATGCGGATTGTAGCCGATGGGCCGTGCGCATCTTATATTTTGTCACGCGATCAGTCTCAACTGTAACCGGCAAATAACTCTGTTTAGAAATTTTTGTTCGTTATAAATTATAACCGCAGTTTAATAAATTCATGTATTCTTCAAAGATCGAAATTAATCATTCCTTGCGTAAAAATGCCACAACAGAAAGGTCAATATGTCCTAGCTAAACTTATTCATGTCCATAAAGCGCTTCATTGAGTTTTCTTGTCGACGCGAAATAATGAAGGATTCTATCCTGCATGATACATTAATAAAATCGTTGGCATGGGCTTTTCGGAACTTATCTCTTTTCCCAAATTGACAATTTTTTATAATTTATACAATTAAATTATATATCTAAGGAATTTCAATTATGCAGACATATTAAGAAGTGTAAAACTGTATACTTAATAAAAATTTACCAAAGGGTTGTTAATGGCATGTGGATGAAGTTCCATCCGCGTGAAATTGCTCAGGAAAATTAATTAAGGTATAATTCAATTGTGTTTCAAGCGACACCAGTTTCTTTTATTATACAAAATACATATAAGCACACGTGGTTGAAGCAGTTGTGGTTGAAGCAGTAGGGAATGCATAGAAATTACAGTCAATTAGTTATACCTATTGAATTGCAAGTAAAAAATGTTTTTATCAATTATCCCCGAAAATAGCTTTCAAGCTTCTCAGCTTTGTAGTGAATAATGTAAAAATTGCGATGCCAAGTACTCGATCACCATGGAGATAGACTCCAGTTTATCAATATTCCATAAGCTTGGTAAAAATGGATAAGTGTTTACCGATCCTTGTGCAAGTGAGCCTTCCATCTTGTTCACATTTTGGCGACTGGAATTCTTGTCGTGACATTAGCATCGCATTGAATTTCAAATCGGTTGAACCCTTCACTCGAGTGTTACCTACTCAGCGGCGAAATGAAATTATTAATATAGTCGTATGTCAAGAATATTTGAATATCGATGACGCTGGTGAAGTTGCTCCGTTTTGACCCAAAATTCCAAAAAAAAAAAAAAAAAAAAAAAAAAAAAAAAAAAAAAGGAAAACTAGAATCTATAAAGCTCAGGGGAAACAAAGTCTGAAGGGTTGGCCAATGCGAGCTGCTGCGTCAGCAAGAATAAACGAAGCGCCTCTAAAAGGATCGCATTTTCCCAACTGTGTACATACACGGACTTATTTCTTTTTTTGAAAAATTAAAAATAATTTCTATTAATTTTTTCCATCATCGATTTATCCACGGTGCTTAAAACTCTCTCCACGATTAAATCTATTGTTGCTTATTGTAGCTCTTAACCTCTTAGGCACTATGCGCCACTATAGTGGCTTTCGCGGATGCCATACTGAATTGTATTATTAATTATTAGAATAAATTGTTAAAGTTAAAATGCGTGTATCATATCTTTAAAAAAAATTATAATTTAATGATCAAACACTTCACTCCAATGTACTCGTGTAAAGAACAGCATTATCCGTCACACATTGCAGTGCCGTATCATTTACACGTAATTCGCGTTGAACTCTGCCGTACAGAGAAAACAGCCCCGCGCCAAATTCAGCCGTGCCTAAGAGGTTAAACATACAAGTACATTGTGATTCATTATTTTTAATTTTTATATATCATCCATAAAAGATACTTCGAGTAACATGATTAATAACCCTCTAAGAATTTAAGAAATCTCGAGTTTTTTTTTTAAATGTACCCAAACGATTATATCATTTGTCGAAACTGTGAATGTGCAGAAGGCCATGATCAATTATTATTTACATACTCATCTAACTCTGATTGTTTCACATTGTTACGCACTACCTTACCGGATATCTTGTATACGTACAATTAAAGATGCACACGATCCTGTAATCCATCTTTTTCTTCAATTTCTAATTTGCTATATCTTAATAGAAACCATCATCAGACTCGCGAGTAAGTTGCTGTCTCGCGACAGTATTCGCTATGTCAAGAGTCTCTGAAGAGGAAAATGGTTTGAGCGAAAGAGCGAAGAACCGAAGCTGTACATCTACTTCAGGATGGAAGTTTCCCAAGCAGTAGGTACCCTATGCTTCGGAGAAATAGGTAAGGAATTAGAAGAAGACGCGGTTGAAGAAAAGGGGAAAAGTAGGTAGGGTGAAGGAGGAGGTGGAGAAGAAAAAGAGGTACGAGAGAAAGCTTTGTGTTCCAAAGGGAAGGCGGCGTCTTGAAAAGGTGCAAAGCCGACAGTATTCTTTGTAGCGGGTCTAGCCAGCTTGCCAAAGACCTCTTCACGCTACTTTACTTCTTTACTG